TATATATATATATATATATATATATATATATATATATATGTTGGTGTCAAAGGGCAGAGAGAACAACATCACAGCTGGTGTCTATTGACTAAAAGAATCCCAAGGACTACAGAGTCGCCTCCGTCTCTATTTCAACGTGCTCCAAGGAAACTTCCACCAAGTCAACAGCCTTAGCAGGAGTGGCTGCTCCCAACCCCTCCACACCCACCTAAGCAGGAAGCTTCCTCGTCTCCATACACAGCCACAGCCATGTCCTCCGCACCTTCCTCCCTTGCCAACTCTTCCTCTCTTCCCTCCTACAAATCCTCCCTCTTCACCCACCCCTCGTCTCAGCAAACCAGCACAAGGAGATATCCAACTTCTCCACTCTCATCCCAGTCATGGAGAAGCTGGTCTCTCTAGCAGAACCAGTCGGCTTCCTCTTCCTTCAAACACTACTCAGCTATGTCATCATGACACTCCTCAAGTCCTCCCCGACATCCCTGTCCTTCCTCCGCTCCTGCGTCGAGTTCTGCACATGCTTGTCGATGGCCCACGACGAAACACCGGCCAAGAATACAAGAAGCCGGCCGAGAGGCGATGCCCAGCTCGGTAGGGAAGACGTGGAGATGGTCATGGACGTCATGGGCCTGCGCTGTAGCCGCGACGGTGAGCCACTCAGGGAGGTCAGCCCCGATGAGCTGTCGACCTTGTTTGAGGAGAAGGAGCCAAGTCTGGAGGAAGTGAAAGAGACGTTCCGTGTCTTCGACCAGAACGGTGATGGATTCATCGATGCACTCGAGCTGCAGAGAGTGCTCACTGGGCTCGGCTTCGTGGAAGGGTTGGAAATGGATGCCTGCGGAAGGATGATCGAACTGTACGATGAAAACCACGATGGGAAGATCGACTTTGTTGAGTTCGTGAGGTTGATGGAGATCAGTTTTTGCTAACACTGCTTCTCTTCCTCCTCCTTTCTGACCTGTACAAGTGTATAAAAGAAATGAGAATAACATTGAAGATTGTTCTTACCAAATCATCTGTTAATTGTCATCCTTCCCGACCAATTATTTCCAATCCAATCTGTGCTTTGTTTGGACTATCATGCCATAAACTTTGATTAGCAAAGGCAGAGATCATCGAGACAAGATTTGAGCTTCAAGCAGATGAATCAATCCTTCGAGTAGGTAAGTTTCTTAGTGTTGTAAGCTTTTCTAAGCCAGGAATTTTTCTGCAATTAGCAGTAGCAAAGCTGATTGTTCTGCTCACGATGCATTGACTAGGCTTCATGTTTCCAATGAACAGCTACAGATTTTGAATGCCAACAAATAATACTAGACTTGTGCTTCTCTCAGAAGACCAATCTGTGATGCATGTTACTCGTGAGACACGCGAAGATGCAGTAGACGTAGTTAATTCTGCACGAGGACCACTAAAAATTTTCTGTAAACATGGAAGTGTGCCAAACCTGCAATGTTCATAAGCTATGACTTCAAGACTGCTCTGCCAGATGGATGTCAACGAGGTAGAACTTCATGCCAATGACTAATTATTTGCTGGAGAAACGAGTTTGGTAGAGATCAGATGGCTTCCTGATTGCATGTCCCTTGCAACATAGCCTGTATCAATCAGATGTCAGTATATAGATCAACAATTTGATGAACAAGTATATACAAGAGACATGACATCAACAAGCCCATGAACATGATGGATGCTCTTATCAGAATACTATCTTACACTATAAGTTGGATGATAAGTTTCTTAATTGTCATATTGAGATTCAGATGTAGATTCATTACAAGTCCATTGAAGGTGGAGGTGAGATCCAATCACTGCTAACATCTGCCAAAAGAGAGGAGCAGTTCCCTTACCTATTCTTCTTCAAGAGGGGAGCAGTTCACTGCTAACATCTGCTATCATGTCATATGATCTTTACTATGATCTCAAAATGGCTTAGTGGGATTGACCACCACTGAAGGTTTGTCCAAAGGACCAGCTTGCAGGAGCCCGCAGCGTGTCGATCACTGGCAATAACCTTGAAGGAGAGGGACTGGCCGTTGAGGTTGGTGTTGCTCTGCCAGTTCCAGGACATGGAATTGCGCCCGGTACCGGACCCATTTGATGGACACTACATGCACATCTCCAGCTCCCCCCAGCATCGGTGAAGAGCACAAGATCGAAGTAGGTGTGGGGAATGATGATGAATCTGATGCCACCTCTCTTCCTGCATTTGAATTCCAGATGCAAGAACAGGGAAATCGGCGGAAACTAGAAGATAGAAACCGTCGACAGAAGCCCCGTGGATCTTCAAGAATTCTAACTTTCAAGGAGAAACCGACGCCGGTGTTAAATCAAATTTAAAATTTTCTTTTTTCCCACACAAAAAATCAAAAATATCAAGGGAAACAGGTCTAGAAAAACTTCAAATTCCAAGGTGAAAGACTTTAAGGAAAATTGGGGAGAAAAAAAGGAGAGAGAAACCATCAACATAAACCCCTCCTAGGATCTTCAACAATTCTAACTCGAAAAGAAAAATCGATGCCAATTAATCTGTAGAAGTCAAGAAAAACATCCAAATTCGATTTCTTTTCCAATTCCAAGGTTATAAACTTACAGGAAACTGGCGAGGCGAGAGAAATGGGGGCAAAGGCGAGGCAAAACCGAAGGGGGGTGGAGGGGAGGCAGCAAACATAGCCTTTTATTTGTACCGCTAGCCATGGAGAATACGTCAAGCGTTCGAAGCGAGGGCAGAGACAAAAGCGTCAGTTATGGAATGAAAGACGAAAGAAATAAATAGTCTTCCACTAATACCCCTCGAACGAGGGGCAACTTACTGAAGATGTTCTGTTTATCAATTAAAACAATTACCATTAATGACTTTATGCAAAGATGTATCTTTCATTATAACAGTAAAAATTATAAATTCGTTAGTTATAGTGGGTTTTTACAAAGTAGCATGGAACAATATTGACTTGAGAAAAGTTAATAGGTTGATTCATCAGCTAATATGTAATAATGCTTTCAATAAAAGCAATGTTAGTACTGGGGTTAAAACAGCTTTTGCACTGATCTTAGGCTATAAGATTAAAGGGATATCACATATATTCTGTTCTTGAAACGACCCTTGTGTCCTATATAAATCTTCAACATTTATAAGCAGCAATCAATGTCTTCACCATCTTATCATTTAGCAAACCCCATTTATTTAAGGCTGTCATCGACTCAGACTCGTGCCAATTTTGGTTTGACAACGAACCAGACATGGCTACTTCATTCCTACTTCGTTATATATATCCAAATACCAAATGCAAAAAAAAGGAAAAGAAAAGAAAGAAACAACCATAATTCCTGCCAAAGAGAAAAATAATTGACGCTGAACATGGAGAACAGCTGGGTAAAACTCGATCAGCATAAAATATGTATAGTAAGGGGTTGATAACTAGCATTAATCAAATAATTTGATCCTTCAACATATATGTGAATCAATCGCATTTGGCACCTCAATAAGCTATAATCAAAACTAACCACCCTAATTTTAACTAAAATTCCGCAACCATCCCAACTTAACCACACAAATGGGATGGGGGTTTAGCAGCCCCAGCTTTCAGGCTGTTGCCACAATGCTGCACCAAGAACTTCAAAGAAGTCCTCGCTACCTGTTGAACCACTTCAAAGAGCGAAACAATTGTGGTACACACAAGTTTAGGTGTAATTACAGGTTGAAGAAGCCCCAGGTAATGAATGGGCTGGCGTTACCTCAGCGTATAATTTTATCCGGTGCAACTATTGATTAAATAAAGGTAGCGCAAGAGAAAATATAGTTGACTAGAAATACCCAGGAGGTTGTCCAAAGGGCGGTGCGCCACTAGCAGGTCTTGGCTGAACACCATACTGAGGCCTCTGCTGCGAAGCTTGAAAATAACCAGCTGGTGCACTAGGAGGACCGCTGGAAGTCGGGAACGGGGCACCTGCAGATGGAACAAATGGCTGGCCTGGGAATGTTCCAGCCGGTGACGCAAAGGTTGTTTTACTTGGATGCCAAGCTGCTGTCTGTCCGACTGGAACTGGTGCTTGCATGCCAATGCTGCCGACAGAAGTTCCAGCTACTTGAGGATTAGTTTGCCAAACAGTGGAAGCACTTGGCACAGAGGAAGCTTGTGGATTGGAAAGTATCCCGGTGCTAGAAATGGTGTAATCCCTGCTCTTGTCGCTATAAGCCTGAAGATAGTACATGCACGTAGAAAAAAAGTGTATTACTCCAAAAATAGAGGAGAGAGACTCGAATGACAAGAAGCATACACTTTAAGGATTTGTCAAAGATTTGCACGAAGTTTAAACTGAAGCTAACCGATAAAGCCTCATAAATCATCAGTTTTGTTCTTTTTAACAAGAGAAGCATCTTTCATAGCTTAGATTTTTTTCATGAAATCAACAATAATATTGATAATAAAAAGAATGATAGAGTTTTGTTCTCTAGGGAAGAGCACTTATTCACAAGTCAAGAGGATTCAGATCATTCTTACCATTCTCATCTTTTTTTTCCCCCCCTCAAATTTCAGAAGGTTTTGACATCATTCTTTATTACCCTCATAATTAATTCTGAGTTTCTTGCTTATAACAACTACAAAATTAAGCGAGAGACGAATGCCTAAAATTTTTCCTCACTTATATTACTCCTGTATAACCTGGAAAATCATAGTTGTACCTTTACATTGAGATCAGTATGACGAGAGTATGACAGATGAAGCTTACAATAGCCACCATCATAAATGCAGTGTCCCTCCAGAGCCTCTTTAGCAACAGCTGCAGTAGTCACATCTGATGGGAAAAGGGAAAATTGTATCAAATACTCTAGCAGCCAACAACAACAACAACAAAAACAAAGCAGCTAGCAGCCACATCAATTAATCATGAAAGAAAGGAGCCTCAAAAGCTTCTTTGCATCTTCATACACAAATAAACAGAAAGATGCCCCTAGGACAAAGAATAGACTGAGAAATACATACAAAAATACATTTTTCTAACATGCTTTTAATGTTGGATAATTCCTTTAAAATCATACAAGTAGGGGGAAATGGTACTTTCGGTGTGGAATAGCTCAGCTCAACCAAAATAATTCAGAAAATAACAACATTTAGTTCATGAAGTGAAAAACTACACATGACGCCCAAGGAAAACCAACCTCATGGTAAAATAACACCATGAAATAAGCAAGGTCCAGAACTAGAATCAGAAGCTCGATTACATCTAAAACAGGACATAGCATGAAGAAATAAGGTTTGCAAAAACTGGAATAATATATGTATACAACAATTACTGGATTTAAAACCTGCTAAGATTTGGATGTTCAAAACATGGGGCAGACCCATACTATGGATGAAATGAGCAAAAAAGTTTTGGATGTTTTTCTATTTTGATAACTACTCAGTAAGTCATGCAATGGGGGAAATCCTATCCAGCAGAAAGGAAACAGGCAAATCGAAACTAAAAAAGTTCAAGAAGACTTGTTTTTAACTTCTGCATTTATCATAAAATCCTGTCACAAAAATACTGTGGAATCCCAGGTCCATTCAATCTCCTCCACAGCCTCCTACTGCATCCTTCCAGATAATGAATCACCACAACTCCCAACATTGGTCCTCAGCAAGGTCAGGTATGTGGATTTCAACCACCCATATTGTTGAAAAATGTTACATCCACATCAACCTTTCCAAACATCCCATCAGTGAGCAAATATCCATTTTGTTCCATTTTTTCTTGCTGTTAAAATTGCTTCTGACTTTTCTACCTTTACTCCAACTCCCCAAAGTGTCCATTATTGGCTACTCTATAACGGGGAGGATGGTGATCTACCAACTCCTACAGGGACAGAGGACCAAAGGATGAAAGAAAGCTAGACCGCAAAGTTACACAAAATTGCTGATCCCAACTAGGATGGGACACAGTAGACTTAGTTCCAGCTAACCTCATGGTTAAATTACAAGATCACAGGAAAATCAATCTCCAGTCCAGTTCCAACAATGAAACAGCAACAGCTGCTGGTGCCATCATCAACAATAAGCCGAAGCACAAGAACAGAATAGGCAATATTTCAGCTACCAACCTGTTGCCATATGACAGGAGAGAGAGAGAGAGAGAGAGAGAGAGAGAGAACAGAGGAGACATGGGAGAGATTCCCACGACTTATGAATGACTTCCCTTATATTGGCTTTTATATTTCTCAGTCCATGAGATTTTTAAAATTGAATTATCGTACTAGACATATTGGTAATAAATATATAAGCATATACAGTTTTTATTAGCTTTAAACTTCTGAAATTTTTGTTATTTATTTTTATTATAATAATCTTTGGTGAAGAAGGGAAAGTTCTAATGGTATTTGAGCACTTGTTCATATAGTCCAATTCTCATTAGGGCTCCTGAATGAATAGGCTGATAAAAACTTGTCTGAAGTATTCAGCCAACAATCAAATTTTCAAGAGGTCTCAAGTTCTAAATTTTGGGCAGTCAAGCTAGATTAACTAGACCTGCCAAAAAAGAACCTAAAAAACCCTAAATTCTTTCTAGACTAGAACAAGTAGAAGAACACATTGAATCTGGATTGCCAATTTAAAGGAAAAATTGGAGGCAAACAGATACGAAAAAAAAGGAACAGTAAAAATCTAAATCCCAAACTTTATAAAGCAATTTAAACCCAAAACTAAACTGTAACTGCACCCAGTTACTTCTAAGTTTGACCATTTTGACCTAGAACTGGATATGGTCCTCAGGAAGGGATGGCGAGAAAAAATGTTGAAAGACGATCAATAGTGGATGTTGAAGCCCCACAAGAAATGGAAACACTAGTCTGTTTCATAATACAGGTACCAAACATGTCCTAAATCTTTGAAAAAAATGAAAGCACATAGAATAAAGTGCTTCCAACTAAAAAAAATGAAATGGAGTAAACAAAAATAGCTTGGCAGGAGATCCAACCTGGATACTGGATCAAAGCCTGAGTTCCACCATTCTTCTCAAATATTGCAATCTTCTGGACACTACCAAATGCTGAGAATACCTAAATGAACAAAAGTTCTAGTAAATATTATTTCGTACTTCAACAAATGTATGACAGTGGGATAGAAAAAGTCTCTCACTGTGTAAAGAACATCAACTGTGACAGCATACTGCATGTTTTCTATTGCTGCAAGAAGCACGTTACTCTCAGGTTCCTTTATTTTCCCATCAGGACCAAGCGCAGGCTGAAAATAAATAATCATTAATCATAACAATTAAACAAAACCATAAAGTAAAGCTTGTGCAAAGCTGAAACAAACCTGCAAATTCCCCTCAATTGCAGATGGATTTACAGGTAGGTAAGGATTAGTGTAATCTCTGCATGATATTAAGTGGCATCAGATCGAATTTTACAATTATAATACACTCCAATCTGTAGATAATATACTATATCAAGTAAAAGAATAACAACAGGTATATATTAAAAGAAGTTGAATAACACTGACCAAAGGAAGACATATGCCAAAGAAAATAAAAAATTAGTGGACTAGTAAGAACTTCATTAGATAACACTTCCCAGAAGTAAATGAAAATTTAACAACAAGAAGCCATAATGTCTCAAAGGTAAATAAGAACTATAGTTATTACAAGGAAACAGCTATAACAGAAAATTGCAGTGAAGCAAGATCGGTGTTTAAACAGTAAATATTAGAACCTCATAGGATATAATTAAATGGGAAACTAATCAACAACTTAATTATTATAGCCATGATAATTAAAACTTCCCCATCAAAACATAGATATATGCCATAAACTGCAAGAAAGTGATAAGTAAAGCAAATTTTCCTTTTTTTTATTTCAATGTATACATCACATGGCATTTCATAGTGGCCATGTTATCTAGCTGATCAAGATCACAGTAAAGACATGCATATTTTATTTTTTCTATAGTCCATTAAGAGGCATGACATGTGAATAGAATAATTACTAAACAGTCAAACCCTATCTTCATAAGATATATGAAACCTATAACTTCAGTTCTGCTAAGTTTTAAGGCCTTTATTATTAAAGAATTTCATGAGAAGTCTAGATAAGCAGGAGTTCATGGCTTGAGTAAGATGAATGATAAAGCAAGAGAGCATAACCTCGAGTCCTTAAGTTACACATCCTACAAAAGAATCATGGCACTTTGTCCTTTTGGATGAAGATTGGGAAATGATCATCATAAGAAATACGAATCTTCTATGCAAAGAATACAGTAAACTTTTCCTTAATACAATTTGGGAACTTGCACTTAGATAATGGTTGCCTGTTAAAGTAGCCCAATGTTCCAATGCTTATACCAAAACACAATGCTAAAAGTTTGATGACCTGAGTTATTGCCTCACATTGGATGTAAAGGTGTATAAATCAACTCAATTAGCTCTAATATCTTTACGCATGTTCCAAAAGTGCTGCTTTAGAGTATATGTGAATACGAGTGTCATCTTTGAAATGGTTATTTAGAAAGAGTTTTTCTGGGAAATGCAAAATGAGATAAGTTCAAACTTTTTCTCTTATTGATAAATTTGAATCATTCCCTGGGTTATAGTTCCCTGGGTGGAAAGCATAGACTTGCTTTTGCTAGTTCGATAATGATAACTTCATAACACTGCCAATGCCGGTCCCAAACCCAGATTAAAAAGGTGGGCAGTTGCGTTAGATCACTGAAGACCAATGTAAAACTATGTCATGTCTCATGAATATGGATCTTAACCGTCCCAAATAATTGAGACTTACGGCTTTGTTATTGTTGTTGTTGGTAAAGAAAACTTTATTGTTGAAGTATAAAGACAGGTAATGCTAAAATAGAAGCATTAGATTATAATTTCAACAAGTACTGACTTAACAAGGACGATCAAGGAAGGAAAAGATGTTGCATCCATCATGAAGAACAGATTACAAGAATGAAGATGCCACTAATGGATATTGTAATCTACCTGGGCATCTAGACACAGAACTAGTGCACTAGTGCCAATCAGAATTACACTAAAGAAGCAGAAAAATCAACTTGGCATGTGCTAGGCCATCATCCTGTTTATGAGAATCGTAATCCTCTAGAATGCATAATTATGCATATGAGGTTAACAGGTTCCTAACATCTTGAGAATATCCAACAAATAAAGAAAATTTTAATTGATGCAGTATACAAAATTAATTAATCATATAGCTTTTGTCCAGGCAGCTAACTTTTATCATCACTAAATGCGACAAACAGCTATGAAGCAGTCACAAGATTTGATAAGTCAAATTATAAGTGGTCAGAAATGCAATTCAATGTAAACAGAAGTACAGATTTATAGCAAGGTTGACTGAGTGTAGAGACCTGCTGCGATGAGACTGGAACTTGATATTTAAATCTGTATGTGCAGAAAAAGAAATTCGTAGGTAGCAAGATGTAACATGCTCAGGAAGCAAGTACCTGTAAATCATGAAAACAATCAGGAAAAGAGTGTGTATTGTCTTATAAAAATGTTCAAATGAGACAAACTGAGGAAACCTGGGGATACTTCTTCCATCCAACGCATTTCTAGCTTCTGAAGCAGTTGGTGCATCTGTGTATTGGATCAAAGCCTACAGAAGATGCGCAAAATGCTAATGTGAGATGCATTCCTGACTTCACAACTAGAATATATTGAAAAAGATGAAAGGACCTGAAAGCCAGCAGCCTTTTCAAAAGTAGCAATCTTGTGAACAAACCCAAAGGCAGAGAAGACCTAATAGACAGAAGTCTGATCAATACTGCTAACAAGAACTCTACCAAGTAAGATAGTGACTCTTTAGAGATCAAATGACAATCATGACAATATGGAAAACAATTAAGTCATCTCATATAACTTATAAGCGCAGAATGGCACCTGTAAGACAAAGGTATTCATCACAACTCCAGTGGCAACATATATGAAAAATTTTTACTTAATAAGATGAACATCATGCATCAATCACATTACTCACTGCCTCCAAAAGCCAGATCAAATGTGAGAAGGGACATATGCAGTTATCCTCCATAAGCAGTAAATTGATAAAATTACATCACTATCAAAAGAAAAATTTGACATAACATCTAAACTATGAAGTAGAGAATTAACATCCTAAAGAATGGAAGTTTAACCTCCAAAAACAGCTTCAGAAACAAGTTGAAGACACACAAGTTGGGTATAACCTACAACTTAAGGATGATGAGAATAAAGCAGCAGTTAGATATTAACATTCATTCAACAGTGAGATACAGAGAATCAGAACAGAATAGTCAAATGAAGAGATAGCAAAACCAACATGATATCTCTCCGAATGCAGATGTTGACAAAGAGATATACTCTGTGTTAACATGGACCTGATAAGCAATTCAGAGTATGTCCAAGGATTAAAACAATGTTAGCTTGATTTATATATCTATATATGATAAAAAAAGTCCCTCGTATCCCTTTAACTTTAAATAATTCAAATTACCAAAATGCTTAAAGCACAGGAAATTACATCTGAAATGCATCATAGGATTTTATATAAAAGAGTCACACTGTAACAGAACTAACCAAGTGAATAACATCTATGCTAACATCACCAGCTTCGACACCCTCAATTGTAACAAGCAGAACATTCCCAGCAACCTCTCCAGAGACCTTATTGTTCACAATTTCTTGCCTGTTTGAATATTGGATATAAACAGTCTTACCACGAACTTGTGCAGGTTCAGATGAGGAGGCATAATATGAAATCATTGAGATGGCCTGATTAAGGTCCGCCTGAAAGAAACGGTACTAATAAGTAATAACAATGTTAAACTACTATGTTTCATGGACTTAATGTGATTGTCTAAAATCTAACTTTCATAAAGAAACACAATGTTAAGGAAGAAGAACAAAAGCCTAGCACAATAACTGTATATTTCACACCTTGCTTCAAATAATGTGTAAAAAGAAAATCACATATTCCTTTAATGAAACCACGAAAGAGGACTACATGATTTGCTTCATTGCTTCATAATTTTAAAATAGTAGGGTTAAGCAAGAGGCTGGAATGGCATTTGGTGTTGACGATTTCTCAGTTTCAGATAAAATAATATGGAGTCTCTAGCTGTATTCTGTAGGCATCGTGTTGATACCATTATGTAGAAAACCTCTCAAAGAAATTAAAAGTACCAGTATCCTAGCCTAGTTCATTTCACAAACAGAGGACCTCAAACTATAAATTTTATAAATGCTATTAAAACTTTAGTAACTTGCTAAAAGAAATCATTTGATCCATGTTTTGGGTGTATCATCCAACTGAGCCTCGAAAAATATTTTCAACCACATTAAATTAATGAGATGTTCCAGACTTCTCATAAACTAAATCGAAGACAATTGTTTCTTTTCTGGCTAAAAGATTTGATCTCTTTAAGTGACAAGAAGAAAAAGATGATGAAATCTTATTGATTTCGTCATGATGAAATACTTTCATAGAAGAAGCTGCAAAACTGTATTGTGGCAGATAACTCAACAGAAATCTTCAATGTTGTAAATCACCGTAATGAACAAGGTATCGCCAGGAATTGGGGCGTCATGCAAGTGATGGACATAATCCTCCTCCTATCGACTTCTTGCATCTAATGACATACATTCTCCGCCAAGAATCTTTTTTTTATATTCATATGGAATTCAAGCGTTCAAAACAGGCTCTTCATGTTCCCCACAGATTCTTAAGTCTCGGACAAAGAGATCGCGACTTAAAACCGAAAGTTCAAATAGTTAATTGAACAAGATAATAGCAAACCAAATTTCCAACATACAAGAAAAAAAACCACAGTGACATAATAAAACCGATGAAACCAACTCCAGATTAAAATTATGCCGATAATTTCGAAAAGCAGGTTCATAAATCGAGAAATATATCAAGAAACCGGGCTCCGACGCTTACGAACTCAACAAAAGCCTGGTTGCGATTGGCCCCGACGTTGCATTTGGTGTTGACGATTTTACCAAACGGCTTGCCGAGCTCGATTAGCTCCTCCTCCGTGCACTCCCACGGTAGGTTCCGGAGGTGGAGCACCTTCGACGGCGTCTGCGTGTACCGGAACTGCGGCTGCCCCGAGGAAGAAGACATCTCCGGGCTAGGGTTCGGGCGAACACTTCTCCGATCCCCCTCTGCGGCGATGAAATTTTAGCCAATACGACTGAGATCCAGCCGAAATCGGACGAATTGCAGGGTTAGGACGACGATTGGGGAAGAAGGATTGAGCGAATTTGATATCTCCTTTCGGAATTGAACCGTCGATGGCTTTGGAGTTGGGGGAGTATTTTAGATGGGCCGATCTTATATAGAGATGACCGACTTGGGTTCGAGTCAGCTCCAATTTAAACCGGTTTGACTCGACCCGTTCCATTTGTAATTGGATGTAAACGCTGAAGCCACACTCAACCCATTCATGCGTTGGTCAGAATCCAAAATTATAAAATCACCCCTAAGAATTATGATGAAATTAATTAAGTACTTTTAGTATAATATAATAGAAATAACGATGATATTCCAAAAAAAAAAATTTACTTTTTTTTTCCATAATATCATAGACAAATATGTATAAGATAATATTTTCTAGAAATAAAACATTTAGGTAATTATTTTAAATATTTTTTAGTTCCATAAAGTGGTGCAAAGTGTTAACCAATATCATATCCTAGAGTTATTCAGGCGACACATGACTAGATGAACCTTTGGATAGTGTATAGGACTGGTTTGCTATCCTATTATTCAACAATGTCATATGGGTACTTATGAGTACTTTTGGTTGTAACGGATCACCTTAGAACCCTTTTCACATGACTATTCCAAGTTTATGAAGTATATGTTTATAATTTGAATTGTCTATTAAGTATTTATTTTTATCCGGTTATACGATCCCAAGTTAAATGTTTCCTACAACCCGTGTTCTCTTTGTAGGTCCTCAAGGGATCATAAGAGGTTTCAAGAAGGTTGATCCTTTGCGAACAAACACACAAGGATATTACATAATTTAGACAATACTAGTTAAGTATGTGATAGATAGTATCGAAGTTGGATATGCATACTTAAAAACACTTGGCATGCAAACGTAAAGGACCTAGCGAGGCTACACTGAGGGTAACTAACATGCACAACCATTTGAGAGAAGGATAGAGACATACGAAAAAGAGTTGCTCAAAAGAGTAGGTATCCAAGATATGCATTTAGATGAATGACTAACATTTTACGTGAAAGGCACTGCAAGGACGAGTGAGCTAGGAATGACGCGTAGCGCACAATGATTAGGATGGCTGAGTTCGAGCTACGACTCGACGTTGATAACTAAATCTAATGGTACTTAAAGCAAGCGATGTCCTTGGTAAAGGATGAGATTATGCAAGGAGAGATGATGGGTTGCTTGATGATTAAAAGAGTTATGCAAAGTTCACAGATATAAGGGGAGTTGCTAACTCGAAGAATTCAATGCTGATGCAAGGGCTTATATACAAATGATGGATTGTTTGTGGTCATCCCAAAGCAATCAAAACACGACACCATTAAATATAAAAACTTTCTAATTAACATGAGAAAGATAAGTCTATAGAAGATTAAAGTGTACAATAAGTTCAACATATTACTAAGCCTTGAGGGGCCCGACGGGGCTTATATCGATGAAGAGTTATAATCTAGCAAGTGTATTTATGGTGGTAAAATAGTGCATAATTTGTTAAACAAGGTAGAATAGTCTAAGGGAATAGTGGTCTTTGAAACTTTTAAATGAAAAGACGTAAAGAAAAAAGTTACTATAATGAGACAAATATCTATAAGGGATAAGTCTCGGTTCTCTAGAAAGAGAATTATACAGATTGTAGAGAATTCTGGAGACGATATCATATGTGCAACGAAAGATCATAAAACAAAAATCTAAAATTTTCCAAAAGGTGTTTATTGTCGTACGAAGATTGATACGCAAAAACCTACAAAATTGAAAACCACGTGTGAGATAGTTGTGTTACCTAGAGAGATCATATATATCTGAATTCCTATAGATATGTGAGAGAGAATGAAGGAAGTCAAGCGTTTTCCTCTCTAGCGGTGATCCATATAACAGGGGCTGTGAAGATGCTCCTCAAATCGTTGCCCAAATCTCCACACCTACTATTTGAGGAGGAGAAGAGGAGAGGAGAATAGAATGTGATAATTAGGAAGCCTAACCTATGACCTTTTAGTTCTCTCTTATTTATAAAGGTTCCTTGTCAACTTAACCCGAGTAGATCTTACTCTATTGGGTATCGAATCTCTATTGAATTACCAAAGTATCTTAGATTAGTTGATATCTACCCAATAATATATTATTAGCTCTTATTATATCTCATTTATGAGATCCAATAATTCAAGGGCTTAATAGATATCCGATAAGATAAGGACTCTAACGGATATCTCACATCCGAACCTCTACTCGTCGCAACACTTACTATATATATGTGACCTTCCAGGCCTAATATTGAGCTAGCTGTGAGTCATACTTATCAGAACTCATTCTAGCTCAGTGAATTATTATCTCGACTCATCGATTACGAACATTATGCTAGTACATCGTAGTTCTCAAATGATATAGAGGAATTCAATCATTTAGATCTATATGTCCTTAATTACCATATACCTATAGTCCCTCATCCATTTAATATCCTAGAGATCATATGCTAGGCATGGTGCTGCCAGACCTATACGGTTTCTTCTCGAGTCTCACTTTAATCAGATTCTCTCGGAGAACTCTTTCTCTCGAAATATGAATGACCTTGGTTAAAAATTTATCTGAGTAAGAACATATGAGATATTCCTCTCATAATATCAAGAGTGGATGATCCTCTATTGATACTCAATAGCCCTCGTAAGATTGGCTATCACTCGCGATGATTAGTTGTGCTAGATTTGAAACTTTCAAACATATAAGTCTGATATCAAAGGGTGGAGTACTCATACATGACATCTTTAGTATCTTAAGTCTAAGGATCAAGTACATCTACTAGGACAACAGAATCGTTGTTTGACAATGAGGTATCATCAACCATCTAACATTCCGTGAGTGGACCAATCAGTGAACTCATTCTCTAATAAGTACTTATACTATAGCCTTAATATCCCCATACGAGCAACTATGAGACTAGTCACCTCTATCATATGGACGGGTATACAGTATACCAATATGTCCGGTTATCTCGATGTCATATGAATATCTATATTCATTCAACTATGAGTCATATGTAACTTGCGAGTCTTGCTTTTGCGAAAAACTGATAAACTCTTAATTTAGTGGAACTAAAGAGAGAGAGCCACTGAGGTATTGAAACTCATACATAGTGATGTATGGGTCTCATGTCATAGGTAGTTACTCATACTTTATTACTTTTACTGACGATTTCTTAAGGTATAAATATGTGTACTTAAGGAGTATAAGAATAAATGCAAAACCAGACTAAAAAGAGTATCAAGACCCTTCGATCAGATCAAAGATGTGAACACTTGAGTATAGAGTTCACACAATTTCTCAAGGACCATGAGATTATATCTCAATGGACACCTCCTTACACACCTCAGTTCATTAGTGTCTTTGAGAGAAGCAATCGTATACTGTTAGATATGATGCAGTACATGATGAGTTTCGCCAACCTACCTATCTTACTCTGGAGATATGCCCCAAAGACCACAGCTTACCTTTTGAACAAAGTTTCACCTAAGTCGGTAGTGTCGACACCATATGAGATATAGAAAAATAAGAATCTCGATCTTAAGATCGTTAAGATTTAAGCTGCCCTGCCCATAAAACACAACCCCGACAAGGTAGATTCCAGGACAGAGCGGTATAAGTTCGTGGGATACCCCAATGAAACTTGTAGGTATTATTTCTATCACCCCAAGGACAAAAAAGTCTTCAAAGCAAAGAGAACAATATTCATTTAAAAGGAACATATTCTTGGTGGAGACAATGAGAGCATGATAGAGTCGTGCGAGATTGGAGAACCTAGCTCAGACACCATTCTATAGCTCGGGTCTGTTTAGGTAACTAGCACACAAGTTTTGACTTTACGTATGTCTGGTAAAGTGTCCCATCCTCCTAAAAGATATGTGAGATATATCAAATGAGAGTATGTTGAGGATATTGATTCTCAGAACTATAAGGAGGCTATTACGAGTATAGACACCGGGAAGTAGCAAGAAATCATGAATTCTAAGATGGATTTTGTGTACTCTAACAAGGTTTGGAATCTAGTTAATGTACCTAAGAGTATTGTACCCATTGGTTACAAATAGATCTTCAAGAAGAAAATTAGAGTAGATGGAAAGATTGAGACCTATAAAGCAAGGCTAGTAGCTAAGAGGTATCATCAAAGACAAAGTGTTGACTATGACAAAACATTCTCACCCGTAGCTATTCTAAAATCCATCTGAATTATGTTGACTATTGCAGCATATTATGATCATAAAATCGAGCAAATAAATGTAAAACCCACATTATGTAATATCCCTCATTTTCTGAAATTTATTTATAAGAACCTATTTGTAAATTGAAGGACCTATATGTAAATATATATATTTTAGTGCTTAAACTATTCAATTGAAAAAAAAAAAAAGCCATTTTATCCCATCATCTCATATGCACTCTGTTTCCCACACGAGGAAACAAAGGAGACGAGGTGTGGGTCATCGATGAGAGAAGATGAAGAAGAGGGAGAAAAAAGGGAAGAAGGAAAAAAAAGAGAAAGGAGGCTACAGCACCTCTGTTTCCCACAGGAGGAAACATAGGATGTTACCCCATAATTTTATATTTTTCCATTGCACATGCCATGTCACCCCCAGAATTCCCTACGGGAGCTACTCAGGTGACACATGAATGGATGAACCTTTATGGTAGTGTTTATGATTAGTTTGTTTCCTTATTCTATAGCAATATCATGTAAACACTTATGAGGAGTTTTGATCGTGGCAAATCACATTGGATCTTTTATTGTGCAACTATTCAGAGCTCGGAAAGTATATATTTATAATTTACATTATCTATCAAATGTTTGCTAAAATATCTACTTATGAGATCTTAACTTAAATGCTTGATTTAGCCTATATTTTTTTTTATAAGTCTGATCATAAAAGATTTTAGAAATATTAATCTTTAGTGAATGAACACATAATGATATCCTACAATTTAAACAAAATCAACTAAGTTGGATAACATGCCTATTTTTCATAATCTTCAAAGTACTCTTAATATGATTATCATAGTTTCCTCTTTTAAACATATGTAAGATCAAGGTAAACCCAATCTCATATATGAATTAACACTATTAATTATAATATTTTTTAAATATTTAATTTTTTTTACCTCCACTAAAATATTATAACCAAGACAAACTAACTCGAAACCCAATATAAATCAATTTATATAAAAAATTAAATTATTGTTCTAATTGGTTTAAGAATAAGAAAAAAATAAAATACATACATATATATATATATATATATATATATATATATATATATATATATGTGTGTGTGTGTGTTAGGAAGAAGAACAAACAAATGAATAGACATCTATATCAATTACACTATTTTTAATAGATTTATGGTGGTTTAAACCAATTCACCTATGAAATACTACCAAAGAAACCGATCGATTCACAAAAAAAAAGAAAAAAGGAAATACAGATTTTTGTAGATATAAAAAAATGATTAATAGGTGAAAAATGGACACTCTTCATGGAAATTACACGTCTCCTTCGAGCGTTTGTAATGTAACGATACCAATCCTGTTAACATATTTGAGATCCTCTCAATGCCAATGCAGCTGTTGCTGCTGCAGCTTCGACCTCCCCCACTGAAGATTCATCAGGGATCGACAGAGCCAAGTCCTGGGACAAGGATCGCCATGGATAACCAAAATGGGCGTCTGGATTCGAAGCTAAACTCAGCAGCTCGCCTTCTTCCAAGCCTTTCGCAGGCCCGATACTGCACCGATCCATCCCATGCTTCGCGAGTGCGTTGTTGAACTTGCTGATCTGCGAGCATCAACAGAGCAAGGACTCGGAATCAGTACTGTTTATGCCGACCAGATGTATGACGGAACGCGTAAGTGGGTCGATCGTCGTCTCACGGTTGCGTTAGTGCAGCTGAAGGCACAGACGCGGCCTTGGGCGCCTCGGTAGAACCGGAAGAAGGGAAGAACATGGATGTGAAGGCTTCGGCACATGGCTTTGTGCTCCTCGCAATTGACTCTCAGAAGCATCACACTTGGATTCATCTCAGCTTGTTGACATATCTACGAAAAGAAGCAGCCAAACTCCATGAGAAGAAGAGTTGCCATGACAAGAGTGATCACACTATTTGGATCACGAACCCTAATAGAACAGAACATGATGATTCGTTCTTCTAAATTGTGATCAGAAAATCTATGAGAAGTGTTTAACCTTGGGATGCAGAGCTTTGCAACCTCCACATCCTGGGGAATAGAAGTCGACGATTACGAGTTTATCCTCAGCATGCAGCAATGAGTGGACCAGTTGGTTTGTTGATTCGATCTCCGTCATATTTGATGAGGTGTTCTTCTCCCACCACCTAAAAGCTCGAGCAGCACACACTGAAGTGTTCTGACCCTGCATTTTGAGCAACAGCATCAGGATTCCTAGCAGATCATGTTTGGTTCACAAATGCGTTCGTTGCATCAAAAAGTTTCTCCGAGAGAAAGATATCACAGAGAAGTAAGCAAAAATTCAACAGAGAGGAACAAAAGGGAAATAGTCACATGAATTGGGGAAATTGGGTGGCTTTGGGGCCTCCATTCGTGTGAATCTCTCGGTTCTTTCAGCAGAGATCGCCTTCCCTTGATGTCGTTCTTCCAAGACAAGACATCCAAACCTGGAACATCTGTCTCCTTCCTCTCCAACCCAGTCTCATGAACACAACGAAAGGACAGACCACTCCTCAGAGGAACTGCCATTGGGACGAGAAAATTATGGAGAATAGAAATGAACGGGATAAGAGAAGGTGTCGGTCCTTATATCTTGTTGTTATCTTTGGTCAGTGTCTCTTTCCGAACACTGTTTTGAGTTCAGAACACCGTGGCTGGCAAACGATCTTTGGTTCTTAATCTCGTCACCTTTATACCGGAAATTATCCCTCAATTCACAGTTCTCTTGGGTCGGTGTTCAATAAGAACTCTGGGTTTCCAGATAAGATCTACTCTCCAAAGCTGAGCACAAGAAATCAGAGCACATGAAGCCAGCTATTGCCGACGAAGCAAGAAGATTTAAGAGGATATCTAATCCTGGGTCCTGATAAGGTGGAAGACAAAACACAACCGATTCATGGTATCACAAAAATTTGTCGCCTTTCGGATCGAGATGAAGCTGAGACAGCAATTTGTCCTGTGTGTGAGTGAGTGTGACCATGCATGTGAATCGATTGAGCTGGAGAAAGAGAAGTATGCTTGAGATAGGATCGTAGCACATAGCTGATAAGGTTGTTCTCAGTGAGCTCTGGCTTCCATACCATGGGCTGGTGAGACTCCTCACGCCCCCCGGATTCTCTCGTTCCTCTTCTGCCGCTTCTGCAAATAGACATCATGCAAGTAGTCCCCGGCAGAGGATAAGGTGACATTTTAACTCTCTCTCTCTCTCTCTCTCTCTCTCTCTCTGTCGTAGAGGATAAGGTGACATTTTAGCTATATTTCTCAAATGTGACTTTTTTTACCTTCTCTCTCTCTGTCTGGTAGAGGATAAGGTGACAATTTAACTATATTTCTCAAATGTGACTTTTTTACTCTCTCTCTCTCTCTCTCTGTCTGGTTGAGGATAAGGTGACATTTTGTCTCTCTCTGTTGCTGAGATCAAAATATTGAAGTATGTTGGGTTTACTACCTGTGAGTGTATGACCTATCTCATGTTACAATCTATAAGGATGTTAGAGTCGCTTTCTGATTAAATGAATAAACTCATAGGAAAATTATATATATTGAATGTTGATGGGGAATTCAGTGTGCAGGACAAAGATTTTTCTTCTCAGATGAATCAGTGGGAGATGTTTGTCAATTGACTGTAATGAAAGTGATAGATACAATGAACTCAGGACAACCGAGGAAAAGGAAAGGAAGGAAGGCATTTAAAGATTGGAAATTGAATCTGACACAGTTGGTGGTCAAAATTATAAAATTTCTCATGTCTATACAGAGAAAAATGGATATGCTCATATTAGGGTTTGTAAGAATTGATTGCTGATCAGCAGTGAGAATTCTTTAGAGTTGGAGGTAGACAAATATTTTCTGAAAAGAGAGATAGAGAGAGAGAGAGAGGAAGGTCTTGATTTTCTTCAAATTCTTATGCTGCTGCTTATTTCTCCCATCATAAGATATGATCATAGAATTGTCAACAATGTTTTACAAGTCTTCAGTTTGTTCATTAATTTATCTTACACTATGAAGTAATTTTATCTTTATCAACAGCAGAGTTATGATTTGTTAGGTTGTACATAAATTCAACATGAAAAGTAGGTACAAGATGTGATTCTCAAGAACAAACACATCTAAACCTTCACTTGCTCAACATATATTTCAAGTGGCTGCAACTTTAATGTTTTCTTCTCCCTTGCTTGTTTGATATTTAGTGTTTGCACCCTCCATCTTTTGTCTACAAAAACATTGCCTTCTCTATGAGGTTCAATTAACAAGAAACAACACTACCTTGTAAATTCCATAAACCACCCTCATCCATGAAGACAGAAACTTGAAGAACTTGCTGCATCTTACCAGCAGCAATTACAGATTGCATAGACTCTCTCTATTTCACTGACACATCAGTTTCAGAACACTTTGCTGAAATAATATATTGTTCAAATTTCACTGACACCAATTTAATCTTTTTTTTAATTTTTGCTAATGTGAGAAATTCTCTTAGTGTTATTTTTATTGGAAACTTAGTGCTATTTTCAATCTCTCCTTATGTATCAATATTTCCTAACACAATTGTCATTACTAAATGTGGAACTCTTTTCTAGTAGTTTATTGGTATACTAACAAAAAAAAAAATTGCATCTAATAGTTTGAGGTTGGATCTTGAGTTAAGAGTTTGTAATCTTCTTCTTCTCTCATATTCTAGTATTTAAACAGCTCTCCACTTAGATTTCTGAGTAATTGGCTACTCTACTTTAATCTTTTATATTTCTAGTTTTGGATCATCTCCTGATGAAATAATTGCTCAGTATCTAAAAGTTCAAGAAACTACTATATTAAGGTATTTGGTACACAAAATTGATGAGACACGCCGCTGAAGGACTCAACGATGCTGCTGAGGTTGTAGTACGTCGGCCGCTACGGTGGAGGCGGAGACGACGATGGCGCACCAAGGGCGAATCGCGCAGCGGAAGGGAGGGACAGGCGGCGAAGGAGAGGAGGGGAAGTTGGCCTTAGCCTCGGGCTCGCGAATGGCGATGGCGGCGACGTCCTCGACGGAGTCAAACGTGCCAAGCCACACCCGCGCGCCTTCTTCCAGATGTCCGGATCTCAGCCGCGAATCGCCCACACGACCGCTTTCGGACGCCACGGTACCGCACCTCTACCGTCATCACCGCGGCCGGAGCTCGGCCCTACCGGATCTCTTCTTCGACACACACGAAAACCAATGATTGGATCTCAAGAGGCGAGGAGGGAACTCGTGATCGATCAAAAGCAGAGTTTTGAAGTCTTCATCACAAATCCGTCTCCTTGCAATCGATCGCCCTCCAGACTGAAGGAAGACTTGGAATGCTCTGATTCTTTCTTATACCAATGAATCAATCACACTTCTCCTTCCCCTTCCCCTAACCCTTCGGCCACCACCGGCGAGCAGCGACGAGCGATGCCAAAGGGCTGTGGGAAAGTAAAAGAGTTAGACGAGTAATCGAGTGGTTATAAATAATAAAATTATATTGAAGCCATTTTTCCTATTGTAAAAATAGGTTATGCACATTTACAAGAGCTATCTGTAGAATATTTAAAAATAAATAAATAAAATTATAAATAGGAAAGACGAGTTATCAATAGAAATTATATATCCTTTTAAGTGGTTGCCAAAAAAAAAAAGTCAATAGCGAGCTTCTATAAAAGAAAAAAAAATCTTATTATTAACGATCGATTGCGTGCGATTTATTCTTCCAAACTCGTCGGTGCCGCCGCCGCCTTCGACTCTCAGCTGTCTCGCCGCCCTCTGCTCATCATCCGAGAGGGATCGATCAAATTTTCCCCACAATTCTTTGGTATTTATCTTCGTTGATAGATATTCCGTGGGTAATTACAAGGGCGAGTGCGGTCCAGAGACCTTTAAGATGCGTCGATTCGCCACGGAAAGAGCCAAAAGGCTGCTAGTTGGTTCCTTCCGCTCTTCTCCTCCTATGTTTTCCGTGCCCCTTTGTTCCTCCGCATCCGCAGCAGCCGCCGCCATGGATTCTGCCGCAAGTCCTGTCGCTCTCGACACGATCAACCAGAAGGTTCGGTTTTTCATCTATTTCGATCATCAACGCCTTATCGAATCGTTCGCTCCCTTCTTATGTTGATTTCGCATCTGTTCTTCGCATACTTTTCGTGCTGGTTTTGTAAAGTCCTATTTTTTCTTGTTTCTCTATTCCTTACTGACTGCTTGGAGGCGATATTTGGTCAATCTGTGGATTTGGTTGTCAATTTGACCACTTTGATTAATTTCTTATTTGGTTCTTCTCGTTGATGGGTTGTGCTGCTTTGCATCCGCGGGTTATGTGTTACTGGTTTACTCTTTCATTCAAAAGCGATACCTTTTAGCTGAACACATCTAATCTACATTTTCTTTAGTTCTGTGATGTCTTCCCTTAAACAGTTTGGACGCAAAAATATGAATGTCATTTGTGTTCCTCATTTGGTGAAAGTTTTCCTAATCTACTTTTATTTATTAAGATTATTGTTTTTCTTTATTTGTTCTGTTGTGCAAGAAAATTTTGTTTGACTCCTTAATTAGGTTTCCTGATTGTTGGGTTTGAACATTTATGTATTTTATTCTGCCAAAATACATGTTTGAAGATCAGAAGTGATTCGGCAAGTAGTTTGGTTAACAGGCATTGGTAAGGATAAAATTGATTTAGCAGCTTTCGTGACCTATTGAAGTGTTGGTATATTGCATCTTCTGGTTGGCATGATTAGAATTTGTCCATTTCTTCTATACTGTGCTCCATATTTTGTGCCGATCACAAGCAAGAGAGCATTGTTTTTCGAGTGGATCCACTGTTGCTAACTCTTGTAATTCTACTCATGTCATATTGCCTGCATATTTTGAGTATTTGTTTCAAATTGTTTAACGCCTCCTACTTTTTGCCTGGTTTTAGTTTGCACTTAAAGAACAAATGACACGCAGATCAATAACAAATATTAAGACAACTTTCTTTTCCATCAGGTTTTAAAATGTGAATATGCTGTCCGTGGTGAGATTGTTACCCATGCACAGGTACTTTCTTTCTCTTTGCTGTATGTTCCATATCTTTGTTTTCTCTTTCTCTAGATGCACTTTCCTATGTTTGTTTTTCCTAAAGAAATGATTGTATCACCGTCTGTGCAATTCTAGCGTTTGCAACAAGAGCTGCAAAGCAAGCCAGGGTCTCATCCCTTCGAGGAGGTATGTGTGATTTTTCTTATTCCTTATTATACAGTTACAAATAGGCAGTAATTTTTCTCCTTTTCTCGGTCCTCTTGCCATTTCTTTGTTATTAAATATTAAGTAATTATTATTTTGATTATAGTCATCGTCTAATTTATTTGTTTTCTCACAAATTCATTGAAGAATCCAATGTTCTGTGCAGATACTGTACTGCAATATTGGGAATCCTCAGTCTCTTGGTCAGCAGCCCATCACCTTTTTCCGTGAGGTGTGTGCTTATACAAACGTTTTTCTAGGACAGTGAAACCCAGTTTCTCTCTGATATCTAATTGTCTATTTCAGGTTCTTGCGTTGTGTGACCATCCACCTCTTCTGGACAAAAGTGAAACCCATGCCTTGTTTAGGTATATGTGAAGCATTATTCTGCATCGTAATTTTGTTCCACCTGAACTATTCTGAGCCTAACAGAATATGTCTTATGCCGTTTTATGTGATATGTTGGCAGCACTTTTTGAAAACTTGAGTCTTCAGATATTTCTATTAGAATTTGAAATTTTGGTGTAATTTCCTTGTCATCAATAGCCCTTGGATCATTTAGCTCTTCCTTAGCTTTTATTCTTTAAGATGGAAAATAGTTATATCCTGGGCCATTGTGCTAGAAAAATAGTTTGATACAAGCACCAGGGTCTCTGCATTTCTCTTAACATTCTGTCAAATGTCCAGAATCACATTATAAACTGGTGCTTTTATGAGAGTTCACACTTCACACTATGATAGTCCTTGTTCCAAGCAACTCGAGCTGAGCAGTGTTAACTTGTGAAACTCTGGTTTTAGTAATATGGAATTACAGATGAGTCTTGTTGCAGCAGCATCAGACAGTGTGGAACCAGATATGTGCACAATTTAATAGAACATTTTGCATGTCAAGATTCTTCTTTTGAAACAATTTTTGACAAGATATCTAGGTTCTAGGTAATGTTGAGAAGTTAGCCTGTTGGAGAGTATGAGCCTTATGATGGCCCTTTTCTTCTATTCATATTGGAGATTCTAAAGAACATCTCATTGATATAGTAAATTTTATTCTCCACCTAGTTATGCAACCTTAAACTCAGATCATTTGACTTATATCAATAATTATATAAGTACAAGGGTGAAATATCTAAATTATCTGTGCTGCATTGCTCTGAACATAAGTATTCTGTCCTTAGTGCCGATGCAATAGCAAGAGCATGGCAGATTCTCGATGCGATACCTGGTGGGGCTACAGGAGCTTACAGCCATAGCCAGGTAAGAATATGCTCTTATTGCTTGCACAATTATTTTCAGTTCTAGTTACGAAGTCTTAAGGACCTTGGTGTTGGTCGTTTTACAGGGTATTAAAGGATTACGGGATACAATTGCTGATGGAATAGCTGCTCGTGATGGTTTTCCTGCCAATCCAGATGATATTTTCCTTACAGATGGAGCAAGCCCAGGAGTATTTATTCCGTCAGTTCTTTTCATGATAAATATGAGAGGTGTTACTGTTTATACTGATTGCCTTTTTTCTCCTGACTTCAGGTGCACATGATGATGCAGTTGTTAATAAGATCTGAGAAAGATGGCATTCTCTGCCCCATTCCTCAATACCCTTTGTATTCTGCATCCATTGCTCTTCATGGTGGCTCTCTTGTATGTTTGTTCATGGATATGTTGAACTTAATTGATCTTTTTTCTGCTATATCATGTGGCTATAGCTATCTGCCCAAAAAAGCTAATTGCTTGAATTGCTATGATCAGGTTCCGTACTACCTCAATGAATCTACAGGATGGGGCTTGGAGATTTCAGAGCTACAAAAACAGTTGGAAGATGCTCGATCCAAGGGCATCACTGTTAGGTCATTGGTTGTGATAAATCCAGGCAATCCCACCGGACAGGTTTTTTTGTCTTCTTTTTCTTTAGTTTAAATTGTTTATCATTATTGGATACCTTACAACAGAATATTCTTCAAAGGATCACATATCATGTTTAGCAATGGAAATAAAAAATGTCTGCAAATTATATTAAGAGGCGGCTAGTGATCTTCCGTCGAAAGTTCAAAGGAATTCTTTTTCTAGGATTAGCTGCAATGCCATGAATTAGGAGTCATTACTAGAAAGGCATCTTTGTCCATTACCATAGGCTGTTATAGGAAACATGTACTTTTCTATAGTTTAATGTTGGTTTATCATGTTTTATCCCTCAAGGTTCATCTTTGAATAATAATATATTGTGGTGGTTCTACTGATTCCTGACAGCAGATTTTTTCTACCCCTGGTTCGTCTATAGTATGAGAATGCAAACGTTAACCTATTGGTTAAAGTACTCATATAAAGTGTTTCCACAGGTTTTACTTCTGATTAAGTAGATTTTCTGGTTTTCTCCAGGTTCTTGCAGAAGAAAACCAAAAGGAAATAGTTGAGTTTTGCAAGAATGAAAGGCTGGTTCTTCTGGCAGATGAGGTGAGGCAAATACAACCAATATTTTGAATTAAACACATATTGTAGACTTGGTGTATTGCCACTAAAGGTTTAATTGATATCTACAAGAAAGGCATGACATGGGTTAGAGACATCAATTTCCCTCACTTGACTGTGGCCATTAATACAATGTGCCAAATATTGTAGGTATATCAAGAAAATATATATGTTGATGACAAGAAATTTAACTCATTCAAGAAGATTGCAAGATCCATGGGTTATGGCGATGAGGATCTTCCTTTAGTATCATTTCAGTCAGTTTCTAAAGGTATGGTGCTCTCCAGTCAGATGATAAGCATACATTCGAACTTGAGAGCAAGCATTCCTTACTGTATGTTGTTTCCTTTTCCATTAGGTTACTATGGAGAATGTGGAAAAAGGGGAGGATACATGGAGGTAACTGGCTTCAGCGCTGAAGTTAGAGAACAAATTTACAAAGTGGCATCTGTAAATCTTTGTTCCAACATCTCTGGCCAAATTCTTGCAAGCCTTGTCATGAATCCACCGAAGGTGAGTACATTCTTGCAGCTATCAAATCATTATCACGAGAAATGACTTGGTTGAGCTTGCAGGTTGGAGATGAATCATATGAATCCTTCGATGCAGAGAAAACTGGGATTCTTTCGTCCTTAGCCAGACGCGCGAAGGTGATATCATCATTGCCCCTTCTGTTCTTTAAATAGACACTTCATTGCTATCACAAGGAAAAAATTTCTGCACAACTTGGAATTGCAGTATTACTTGCATTTAAGATTATCAAACCTTACTCAGGAATGCGTTTGACATCTAAAAAGTGTTGTGCTGTGGATTGAAAATAATAATCTCTTGGTTGACTTGCTACAGGCTTTGGAAGATGCATTTAATGGTTTGGAGGAAGTAACATGCAACAAGGCCGAGGGAGCAATGTATCTTTTCCCGCGACTGCACCTACCAAAGAAGGCAATCGAAGCGGCCAAAGCAGTTAAAGCAGCACCGGACGCATTCTATGCTCGCCGCCTTCTTGATGCTACCGGTATTGTTGTTGTTCCTGGATCCGGCTTCGGACAGGTGAGCTTATTTCTCTGGTCACTTACCTCTTCTCTTTTCGACAAGAATGCTAATCGTGTGTAACATTAGTCACTCTCTCTACAACTTTGTTTGATAGCTCATTCTCTTCTTTTGGATCATGAAAGGTCCCCGGAACCTGGCACGTTAGATGCACAATCCTGCCGCACGAGGATAAGATCCCTGCCATCATCTCCAGGCTCAAGGCATTCCATGAAGCTTTCATGGAAGAGTTCCGTGATTAAACAATCCTGCAATGTTAAGCTGCCATGCCCCACAATTTTTGAAGAAGCTTTCTCATGGGTTTTTTTTTGCATCATCACCCGACTAAAATAAAATATGAGTTTCTGGGGGGATTGTGGCTGAGAAAACACAGCGATAGAGGTCATCTATCGTGCTGGTCGCGTTGGTGGTGGCCTTTGCCTTTTTGACTCTTCTGTTTGATTTAAGGGCTATCTATCATTAAGGGAAGACTAATTTGTGAAATCCTTTACATTTATGTTTTAAGTGAAACTAGTCTTCAAAATACAAGAGAATAACATGTAATAAGAACAGGAGTTCATGATTTATAATTGCAATTTGCAGCTCTTTTTTTGTTGTATTTAGTTGTGTAATAGCATGTAATAAGAACTCGACTTGCATGCAATGTATTGTAGCATTGAACTTGAGCCATTAACACAACGAGAAATCCATTCGTCCCAAAAATCAAAATTACAACAGGCAATACCATGACATTTCACCAGCCGTCAAAGCTTGAATACTTGTTTTCTCTTAAGAAACAAAAGTAGCAGTTCGATCATTCACAGAGTTGTTTACTGAATGATAATTCCATTACTAAGCAACCAAAACACAAGTACTAACAGCATCCAAGCAAATAATGGTGCGTACTCTGGCAAATATGTTGAGATGGAGAGAAAAATGGGCGAGGAAGAGTACATCGCCAAACATTTTATAGGCGAGCAATGACAGCTTCCACCTCAGAAGGTGTATAGAGATGATAAGTGGGAGCTACCTTTGCAATGTCCACATTATTTGGAGTCACCTGCTCGATCAAATGCCTAAGGGTTACTCGAATTGCAACACGTGGCAAGCCCCAAAACATAAACCAAAGGATGTTTATACCTTTTCTTCCATGACTTGCTTCAAGATGGAAAGTGCTATGGTTTCAGCTTCTTGAAGGGTTAGATCCTGCACAAACAGCAGCGTCAGCAACCATCTTAATCACGATTGAAGACCAAGTAAATTATGAAAATTAATGATACCCAGAAAATCCTCTATGCTGATCGATACCTTGTTGTACTGCTCTTGAAGAGAGCTATCAGCTCCTTCGGATCCTGAACCAATTGCTTTCGCATTGCACTGCCAGAATGTGCCAGACGGATCTGTGTAGTACCTGCAATTTAATACATGTTCAACTGTAGAACTAATAATACAGGTGCATACAACATGGAACTTGGTGTGCAATTGTAGATGAAGTGCAATTATCCATACTGAGGCAGGCAGGCAAACTTTTCACATGCATACTCTTCCTACTCGGGAAGGAATTACACTGAATAAAAGAATGTAATGCCAAGTAACTTGTGCAGCTCATATATATATATATATATATATATATATATATATATATATATATATATATATATAATTACACTCATAATCTTCCTACTTCCTACTTCCTACTTCCTACTCTAAAAATATATATATGTAAAGATAGGAACTTGTGCAGCTCAATAAGTAACTTTTCACATCCACAACCAAAGTTGGTTTTGAAATAATTGCTATTATTTGAAGAACTTGTTCTGAGTTATTGGCTGCTTTAGCTTGGAAAATAAATTCTCTTAAATCTGATTCAAGTCAACTTATTTTTAGATGGAACCAAACTAACTCCGTGACCACTCCACTTGATCAAAATTATATCAAAATACCCACCAATTTTGATGAGATAATTACCAGGAAATTCACCATTACATATTTTATCATGGTTCACATATAGCAAGTGTTATCAAAGCATTTATCATCATTCAGTTGTTTTGGCCTCTGCCTACACGAAACATTAATAAGTTGGATTTCCGAGAATGAATATTGCATAGAACAAGCTAGACAAACTCAAGTTTTCTTAACAGGTACACAAGGGAATTAAATTTCTTGTATTTACCAAAGCCTATATACCATAAAAAAAAACATAAATGTTCAAATAAAAATAAATATGCAGACAAAAATCTATAAATGACCGATGTAACGAGTGGCCAAAACATATGCAGACTGCCATTCGAAAGAACACTGACAAAATTTAGAACTTAGAGAATGTACCAGACATGACAGTTTCACTCCACAAGTACTTGATGATATATTTAACAAATACACAAGTAATGATTACTTACAAGCTGGGTCCATGTTCGTCATGACCAGCAATCAGAAGAGATACCCCAAAAGGTCGTGACTGCAAAAAAAATGACTTGTCAGAAACTCTCATACTATCAACCAAAAGTTTGCTGTTTGACATACAAACAAGTATCTACTAACTCCATCCTCATATTTGCAACAGAAACCATGTTTGCAGATAGTCAATAACCTGCTCTCTATATGACTGCCAATAGTTTCTAATTCAACAATGTTAGACAGGGAACTTGTTGCAGTAATACCTGGTATACATGATGCAAAACAGAGTGGTGTGGTAGTACAAACTCATAATCTAATTTGATTTAGCATCCATCAACAGTCTAATACAACATACTAATGCAAAAGATAACTAAATTTAGAGTAAAAGGTGAGGTGTAGTGTGGATTGTAAGAACACTATAAGCTAGAGCAGTGCAAAATGTAGGGGCACTGTAGTGGAATCCCAGAGTTCTTATGACATCCATCATTACCCTAAGATGACAGACTAAAGCAACAAATAACTAATTCAAGCGAATAAGCATGCTTATCAAGCCATTAAGAAATATTTCAGATAAAGCCATAAGACTATCAGAGAAAGCTTTTATGATGAGACAAAACTTATCCTAACAAACCGAATATTTTAAAATTAAAAGAAATACTTCAAATTTCAAAATCCCTAAAAAACAGCAAAAGGGCTCTCAACTAAACAAAAATAAACTTAAAACTTGATTACTGTAAGATTGGGATGTATTAATACTGAATCAAACTAGAATGCTCAGTGGTTCAATCCAGTAACTGTACAAGGAAGTTTGTTTTCGATTTTGATTAACTAAAAATGGAATACATTCAGTTTGAGATTTGACACACTGATCACTCAACATAACACAAGATATATGGCACACTGATTGCTCCACATAACAAGATACAACTATGTTCTTAGTACATTTTGGTTGGATTAGCACATAATATTTGTGATGCAATTTCTAGTTAGTTTTGCTATTACAGATAACATATTCATAAATGAAGCACTCGGTAATCAAGATATAATTTGCATCTCCACATCAAAACTGCTAGAAATTAATTGGTAAGAAGGGCAAGTGATAGTAACCATGGACTCTTCATCTCCTTCACCAAATCGAAGAGCAAGATCACACAGTGCTTGGGTAGTGGACTCAACAGTCATAGGCTCACCATATGAAAACCTATGATTCTGGTAGACAACGAGGTCAATAAGTAACAATGAGTTATATAAGCTATTTCACAAAAATGCCATCAAACAAAATAAAAGAAACCTGAGTTTCAACACGGGCATGCTCTACAAGAGTTCGTGCATCAGCTATCAGTCCACTCATTGCACAACCTATGTGCTCATCAATCTCCATAATCTTCTCTACACTGCTTGGTTCCTTCAACAAGTAAGATAGAGTCAGCAGTGAGAGACAAGGTTAGCAGCTAAAAATGATACAAAAGGTGGTAACAAGCTTATGCTATGAACAATTGTGATTTTGCAAGAATGTGCAGCTGATATAAGATGCAATATTCCAGCTAACAGTCTCTTCCGAGGATAAGATACATCAAAAAGGAAAGGCAAGGCCAGATACCACCATTTTTTTCTGTTTTCTTTCATGTCTTCTTTCACCTAAATCACCAAACTTACTATAAATTCCACTCGGTTACAGCTAGAACCTATGGTCGTCAAATTTTTCAATAACAGTAGATCTACTGCCATTTAAATCTAAAATTAGATAACTGTGTCAATTCTTTTTCTTGCTAAATATCACATGAATCTACTGGGGATAAATCAAACTGGAATCTAAGACCTTGCTTAAATTAATCAATTTTGTCAGCATTTAAGTGCATGCTACAAAAAGAAATGGTTAGATAACAACAGAACAAAATCAGAAATTGACGAGAGTATCGTTCAGTATCTAAAGAACAAGTTAGGGAATCACAAAATTGAAAGTTGTGCGGGACTCAGGAACTTAAGGGCTAAAACCACAATACGTTTTCTTTCCTGGGCTTCAGAAAAGGGTATCACTGAACTTTCTCTCTATTATAAATTTTAGTAGGAGAAATTACTCATGAGCTAGAAATCAACATTCAACAATTACAAGGCAACTATTTGGGTGGGCTATATGGATTTTTCACCATCATGTCTTTCTTACTACTCAAACTAAGAGCCCTTATATCTCTATTTACAGTTTTGAATAGAGTTCTGTAAGTCTTCCTCTGTCTCACACCAGCTATCCTATTAACTCATGTCATTTAACTAGCATGTCTCATTTGAACATATCCACACCAGCTTTAACAATTTTTCTTATTTTATACTACTCCTCGGTTTTCCATGGATGTAAATGTTTCTTAATCTATTTTTTGTAATAGAAATAATAATATTGGTGACAAGAATATGTTTTAGTTGACAGATCAATATAGTCAAACCTGACATTTCAGAACTGGACGATACATTCTTTGTCCAGAAACAGGTCTTGAACATATGTTCCACATCAGAAATAAGAAACAAGTAGCATATCATTCATTGAATAAAACAAACCAGGTCTCTACCAAAATCACAAAAATATCAAAGTATTCTGTATCGATACCAAAATAGTATAAGCAATCAATTCAATTCAATATTTTTAATTTCCCAATAAATCCATTTCCATCAAAATTTTGGGAAAACTAATGTCCATTGCCACCTGCTCATAAGTTACAAGGTCACTTCCCAGCATATCCATTTCTTTCCATCCTCCCTTTCTCATTTCTCTCTCAATTGTCTCTCCTCTGGACCCTTTCTCACATCATTCTCTCTCATCCCCTTGCCTTTTGACCCGCTATCAATTACCATAGAGAGAATTCTCCTCATAATATCTGGAGGATATTTTCGCTGCCCCATCAATCACATTCTCACTACTTCCAAGACTACCCCTTTATTCTCCGTCCTTGAGGTGTGATCCAACATACGGCAAGGCAAAACATCAAGTAACGGATATCATTGTCTCCATTTCGTCGATGATAATTCTATCTATCTTTAAGGTGGAACCTAAGATCTGTCAAGGTCCATGTCGATCAAAGGAATGCAAGTCAAAAATGGGTCAACAAAGAAGAGAAAAACGCAAAAAAATAAAAGAATCCAAACCCAGATAACACAGATTAGCCTCTAGCAAAAAGAAACTCTTGGACTAGGGTTAGTAAGCAAACCAGCAAGGGCGAGGTCACGCGCTTCTCGACCGCAAGCACTACGCCTTCCTTCGTCCTCAACCCAATGGCAGTCGAGCCCAACTGCCACCAGAATCAAACGCGTTATCTCAAGAACATTTCGATATCGCAAAAGGAACCAAAACAAAGAGGGGAACAAAAACCCGACCTTGATGGCCTCGATGGCGTACTCGACCTGGAACAACCTCCCCTCGGGAGAGAAAGTGTTGACACCTCGATCGTATTCGGTCCTTCGGTCAAGAAACCCCAACGAGAGAAGGAATGAGCGATCGAAAGAGATACTAGTGGAATGACTGCACGAAAGAAGCGGGGGAGGGGCATGGGACTCACCTGGTGAGGAACATCTCGACGAATCTGAGAGAGATAGAGAGGGAGAGAGCAGTCGGCGATGACGGCGGTAGTCGAGGTTTGGGCAATCCGCCGTCCGCGAAGAGAAATCGATCCACGGAGAGTAAAGGCGATTCGAGGGTATTTTTGTCACACCATAAAGATAAGAAAAATCAGTTTATAAAACAAAATATTATTATTTGCACGTGACTTGCACGTGCATACTGTCATCATAATTATAATTACTCATTTTGTTTTCTTTCGGGTTTTAATAATGAATATAATGCCATTATTAGTATTTTTAATTCGTTAATATTTTTCATAATGTCAATAATACTACTGTTGGTGTGGGCCAATTGGGCTCTAATAATCAGCTAAAGCCCAAATGCTAATAATGAGCTAAATGACATATCACATCAGCTTGCTTTCCCATCCATTACAATAAGCATTTTGGCGCTCTGCAGATTGCTCGAACACCTCGTTCCCTCTCCGTCTCGTCTCTTCCCTCGCCGGCGCGGCCATGGCGATGGCAGCGCAGACGCACCAGAGGATGCCGAAGGAGCAAGAAGAGGCGGAGGACGTGCAGCACGGTCCTTTCCCTATCGAGCACCTTCAGGTATGCCCTCCCAAAAACCTCCGGGTCCCCCCTTCGTTTTCTTCCAAAGCCCTAAATCTTTGGCTCCTTTCATCCCTTATCTTCTCAAGGTCGAGTCTTTCTTGGATCTTCAGCTTCAAGAATCGCCGAAACCAAATGGAGACGATCCAATTTGGCTTTCTTGATCTTCTTTCGCTATGTGGATGAAACTAATTACAACTCTGATCGGATCTTCTCTGGTTGTGTTTGATTCGAGCTGAAAATTTTCATATTTTATCGATATTTGGCAAATTCTACCATATATAATTGAGTATCGTCTGTCAATCCAAAATGCTTGATTGTGTCGTTTGATTATAGACGTGATTCGAAAACTTGGGTTCTTGACGGGTTTCATCTGATTTCTCGAGCTTAGGTTTCTGGTTTTGTTTATTATTTCTCGTTAAGGTTTTGTCTTGTCACTTAGGGTGACCTTGGGTTCTTGAGTTAGAAAAAAATTGAAGTAACAACTGTGCTTTTGGGCTAAGAAACAACATTATGATAATCTTACTAAGCATGGCAACGATGTATTATTGGGCAACGACACAGCTAAGCGGAGCAATGCCCCCAGAAATCACTCTATTATTATATCGTTATATCATTAATTATGCTCCAGCCTTCTGCAGTCTTTTCATGGTGGCCTCCAGCCTTCTATTCTTCAATGTTTAGAATAATATTTCATGCTAATCCAGTATTCTAATGATTTTTTTATTCTACATTACCTACTAAATACACATTCTAACTAATGCCTTCATGATGTATTGCCTACTACATCGTTGAAATTTATAATTGCTTGTTAGTTGTAACTATTTAGTGATGGTGTATGACATCAGTTGATCTGGTAGATTGTTTCATTTATTAGACTGTCTCCTATCCTTCAAAACTATGGTGATCATATGTAAGAGGCTGCACATGTATACAATGTTAAGAATTAAACACGTAGGACAATGTTAAGAATTATTGGTTGCATGCTGTATTTCTTCTGAGGATATGTGTTTTCTCGGGAGAGTGGAAGAATCACAGTTGCAAATTTGCAACAGGCAGACTATTCATTTTCAAGATTTGTATGAGCACCTGACTAGCCATTTCTAGAAGTAACTGACTGGTATGTATGAAGCCAAACCTTCTCTTATGATAGATATGGAATGTGTGATACCTCGTAAGCACTACCTGAAAGCTGTTTTGTATGCAAATGCTACTTTGAGATGTATTTAAGAGACATATATGGTTCTATCATTTACTGTTACTGTCGGATATGTCATGTGATCTTGTTGATTTGTTCTGAAGGCCTCTGGGATTGCTGCTATAGATGTTAAAATGCTAAAAGATGCTGAGCTCTGTACTGTAGAATCTGTTGCATATTCACCGAGGAAAGATCTTTTGCAAATTAAAAGAATCAGTGAGGCAGAAGTTGACAAGATTATTGAAGCAGGTATAGTTTCTTTGTCCTTGTCTTGTTGTGCGGTCTAGAAATGCACATATCTGTTGCACAATGATTATATCTCTAACAGAACCTCCAGAAGAATATTTACGGAGTGATTCTTGACAGCTTCTAAGTTAGTACCACTGGGTTTTACCAGTGCAAGTCAACTTCACGCTCAACGGCTTGAAATAATTCAGATCACATCTGGATCTAGGGAACTTGATAAGGTCTTGGAGGGTAACTCTTTTATGGGACTAAATTCTATGATTTCTCAATAGCTGTACATACTTATAATTTTGGTATATGCAAATGTAGATCATTTTGTTTTCTAATTTATCATGGTTTGCTCTGGACAGGAGGAATTTAAACTGGATCTATTACTGAACTATATAGTGAATTCCGCTCTGGTAAAACTTAGCTGTGTCACACTCTTTGTGTCACTTGTCAGGTATTCTTTTTTGCATGATTATGTTTATGTATGTTAAAATTGCATTTTTCAATTCAATCATTCATTTTGGCCAATTTATGTGCATTTTGCAATTATGTTTATGCTTAATGTAGGCCTGAGATTTTGAGCATCACAAGACAATAAAACTACTATATTTTGATAGAATATGTGTGAATGTCATGATTGAAAAGGATGTTTATAGGGTTTTATAGACTTGTAGTTATATATTTTTAGAAAAATCTTTTGGTCTATTTTTCCTCCACTTCAATGCCATTTCTTAAAAATGATGAATCGAGTTTAATTTCAGCTTCCCTTGGATCAAGGTGGTGGTGAAGGAAAGGCACTATATATTGATGCTGAGGGTACCTTTAGGCCCTAAAGACTTCTTCAGATTGCTGACAGGTTTTACAGTAACGTTAGGGTAAATTAAGAACATTTTAACAAATGATCTTCTATAAACATGATTGTATTAATAAAATTGACAGGTTTGGATTGAATGGTGCTGATGTTTTGGAAAATGTAGCTTATGCTAGAGCATATAATACTGATCATCAATCAAGGCTGTTGCTGGAAGCAGCATCAATGATGGTGGAGGCAAGGCATGTTCCTTCTAATCTTTGTTATCTCTCATTTCAGTTGATTGTAATATGGCTGGTCAATATCTTGCCATCAAACCAACATGCCACTGGAGCCATTTTCAGAAGAGAAGTTTGCAAACTGCATATAATTGAACTGGTAAACAAGAATACTAGTTGACATGTCCATCTCATCTCTTGTGCTCAATGTTTATATCTTAGACTATTAATTCCTGAACGATGTGACCTATTGTTGTCTTAGACCTCTTTTATACAAGCATCTTTTGCAGATGGTGACAAACAAAATAATAATGGTTGCTTCTCTAGTATTTCACCAAGTATCGTCCCATATGGTGATGGCTTCAAAACCTAATATCCGTGTTAATATTAACTTAAGTTCATTGTATGCACCAACTCTTGGTTTCTTCTCATTCATAACTGTGAACATGAGCATTTGTCATTTATTTTTCCTGTCTCATCTATTGATAAATTGTCAATATAAATTGAGTGGTAAATATGTTTTTAAGCTTCTTGAAAATAGATAAAAGTGTGATCCTAATCTGGTAAGGTTTCTACCTGATAATTCCTTTATGCCTGTTCCATAAACAAGCTTTCCATTTTGAGGTTATATCTTCTCCATGTAATGGATGCATCCACTAAAGACTGGAGATGGCTGATGCAAAGTGACAGGTGACTCTTATGAGCTGAGGGTGTTGCCCGTGGAACCACACGGACACTAGGCATTGGTAGAAACCTCCGAGTTGGAGATGCTACCCCTCCTAATGAGAACTATCTGCTTTGAGGATGATGTGTGTCTGTAGTTTAAGTGTTATCCCATGGTATAATAACCCATAGTCTGAACAAGGACTCTTATCAGACCATATGGTCCTATAGCAGCCAGTCTTTAAATTTTAAATATCTTCTTCGGTTGATATCTGGTTGTATGGTTCAGTATACTGCTTGGTACACCAGTGCCATGCTAGTCCAGTAGGTTACTGAAACTGGTACCAGACCAGTATTTAAGCCTTACCATTGCCTAACTAAGAGCCTTGCTTTTAAACAAGTTGTTGAATGAAGGATCTAAAAGCTGGGATGACTCGAATAATAGTAGTTTGCTGCAATGATGATTAGAAAGACTATTTGCCAGCTGCTATTTCATATGTCCAAGTTGTTATAAGAGTTCAAAATGGCATAAAATGAATATAATATTCAGGTTGACATTGTTGTTGATGAATTGATCAATTAGATAATTAAGTTGGTACTTCTGTGCATGTTAGTGCTTCTGCTTATAGGGAGCATGGATCCACATTGAATTTGTAAGGTTGGATATGTTTGATTGTGTTTATGGTGGGATAAAACTTGTACTTCTCAGGCCAATCTTTCTTTTAGGTCCTATTTTCAAATTGTTCCTTCTGAAAGGAACTAATTGGACTTTAATTCTTATCTAGGTTTGCTCTTATGATAGTAGACAGTGCTACGGCTCTTTACAGAACTGATTTTTCTGGAAGAGGAGAGCTGTCAGCGGATATTTATTATTGGCTGATGAGGTAATATTTATTATCTGGCAAAATTTCTTAGGAGCCTACAGAAGTTGGCTGATGAGGTAATATTTATTATTCCTTTTATCCTTTTCTTGCATCGGAAGAACAGGATGCTATAGCAGCTATACTTTTGTTTTTTGATTCTATAATAATGTTATACTGGTTGTTATAGTTTGGTGTGGCGGTGATCATCACTAATCAAGTTGTTGCACAAGTTGATGGATCTGCAATGTTTGCCGGACCACAAATCAAGCCAATTGGTGGAAACATCATGGCACATGCTTCTACAACAAGGTCCTCTTGGCATAGAAATCTTTCACTTGATCTGTGTTTCTTTTTCTTTGCTCAAGGTTTTTTTTTCTCCTTCCTGTGTACCAGGCTTGCCCTTCGCAAAGGTAGGGCCGAAGAACGCATTTGTAAAGTTACAAGTTCTCCATGTTTGGCAGAAGCTGAATCAAGGTTTCAGATATCTTCCGAAGGTGTCACCGATGTAAAAGATTGATCAAAATGGATGCACTATATCCATCTCATCCACTCTCAAATGGACCATCATATCTCACTATGCTGATGCAGGTACCTGTCTTTCGTCCGTAGATATTGCCTTTCTTCCTTCCTATCTGGTGCACAGTCTTACGATCTGTAAATGTAGAAGCATGGGGTTTGTCACTGTAGGATATGACAATCTTTTGCTTTTTGTTGCCGCAAACATTTATTACAAACAAACAAAGCCCAAAGCCCATGAAATGTGTAGCCTTCTTTTTTGCGTGCTACTGACTACGTGCTCTTTTCCCTCTTTCTTACGTGTGTTATATGTAGATACACACATAATAACACACGTAATTATGTGCCACCACTTGCTCTCTTTTCCCTCTTTCTTACGTGTGTTATGTGTGTATATGTATGTACACATGCACAACCCAAAGCACATAATTGCATGCATCAAGAGAAAACACTGATTTTTTTCTACTTTATAATTGGTGCTTTCAATTATAATTTTTTATTCTTGGCCACTAATCATGACCTCCTAGTTGATCGGATCTATCTGATCAGGTTAGATTTGACCGATTTGACCTAATGCCGGTCAACGTTGAGGCACAACTATTAAAAACTGAGATTTATATAGAGATAAGATGATTAGATAAATAACTACATGAATCTTTTATCATCGAGTCTTATATTTTTTATTTATAATTTTTTATATCTCTTACTATATCATTAATGATAATTATTTTGTTTTATTTTTTTTATTATCGTATGTAGTTTTTTTATAAAAATAATTATCGCATGTAATGTAAACTTCGATCGGATAAAAAAATTGAAAGGTTATGTTAGGTCATTGATGATGAACATAAAATGACTACATATCCATAGGACTATTAGGGGTAAAAAAAACATTAGGAGTCTGCCACGTCACACAGGACTATAAGTGAACGTTAACGCATTATCGTAATATAAAATCGTTAATTTAATTTGACGAAGAATAATAGTATAGTTATATCCGAAAACACGCGAGAGAGTGCGTGCGATACCGTACACGTTAAACAGCAAAGGGTCCCATGTGGATTTGTCCCTATCGGAGGCATCCCATTCCGTTACAAGCTTCCGGAGGAACAACCAAAGCGAGCCCCCGCACGTGATGCCCAACCCCAGCACGTGCCTGGGTGGGGTGGGTGGGTGGTGGGTTTGGGGGTCCCCCGACCACGGGCCAAGAACATCAATCGAACTGCACACAAAACTTCAACGTCCATCAAGCGATCCAAATCCCAAACCCCACATCAAAAGCGATCCAAGAATCATCGGAGATTGGAAGACGCGGAGACGAAGTGGATGGGGATCAAAGTTCAAGATTATATATACAAGTCCTCTTCTTTTGGTGGTTTCGTGCAATTGGAGGCAGCAGTAAGCGGTCATGAATCGGATCGGGAAAACCAAAAAAAGAAGGAAAAAGAAAAATTCGAACGAGGAATCAAACCCGATATCCGAATCCAACAGCGATCGGAACTCTCGTTCACGCGCCCGAAGATCTCCGCTGCCCATCCATAAAAATCCCATCTTTTCTTTTTGGTTTTCTTTTCCTCTGAGCGATAGTACAGAAGCGTAGAAGAGGATATCAATTGATTAAGATGCCGTTTTATTATCGTAGATCGCGGAATCTTCCGCCTTCTCTCTCCGTCTGTTTCTGTCACGTATTAATTATTGTCTCAATTTTTGATGCTTTTGTTGCGTTTTTCTGTTGGGGTTCTTGGTTTGACCCCGTGTCAAGGAGTCTATTTGGGTTATGATTCGGGCGTGGGCTTCTTTACGTCGTTCTCTAGATATATGTAGTCTATTTGTTTTAGCCTTCGTTTACTTTACCCTTCGTCGCGTCGTTGCCCTCTTTTTGGTAGCCGATTTTTCTCTCCTCGGAGTTTTAGGGGGCCGTCGATCCCTCGTTTTCTTAGCTATTTCTGTTGGATTTGCGATACTAGATCTCCGTTTCAGGTGGTTTTCGGGCGATTCGGACGCCGAAAGGCGGAATTTTTGTGGGATCTATTGCAATTTGGGGCTTTGGAATCGTGAAGCTTGGGTGAAGGGATTTAGGGTTGATGTCCCATTTTGGTTTTCTTGGATGCGTGACTTGGGAGTAGTACTGGAGCTTCTTCGTTTCCTTTTCGGTTGGTTTCAACTGGAAGTTGGCGGAAAGGTATTGGCTTTGGGGAGGAAGATGAGATAGCTGGGTTGTTTTACTCGTTGATGTCGTATAAGAACGATGTATCAGACGAAGCAAGCTTGCAGGCTCATTGCAGTCCTATGTGGGAAATTTGCTGAGAGACGAAGGGAGGTAAAACGTGGGCATTTGTCTTTGTTTCCGGAGCTTGTTTCCTCGGGGCGCCTTGAGGTTTGTACTTTCGGTGAATTTCAGGTCATTTTGTTCTCCTATTGAGTTTGTTCTGTTGTTAAATCGTGTTCAAATGCAGGTTCACACGCTTGTTAATCCAACAATGGATAGTTTTCGCAATGCTCAGAAGTCATTAGAACCAAATATCTTGTACTTTCAAGGGGAGCAGCTGGAAAATGAGGAAGAAATTGGCACATTGTTTTGGGGGGGCATTGATGTGTCAGAGGCTGAGACATTCAGTTCTCTCATGGCTCCTCCATCTCCAACAATAGTAAGCCCCATTAAATTATCCAAATTCATATATCAGAGGAATAATTGGCGAACTGCCTATTCAGTATCTTTCTCTGTATTTTAGTTGTTTCTAGGTTTTATGTCCCACTGCATATGTGTCTCTAAAGCTTCTTTGAACTTTCTGAAACATGCAAATCAGTTTTTATCCTTTTTGGCTTTAGATAGATTAGGAATGCAAAATGATACCTTTTCAGAACTTGTTTCATTTTTCATAATTTATTCAGCATTGATTGTATCCTGAATGTGTTGATTGTTGACCTGTGATCACGGTTGCAGGTTTATCTGGAAGTCCCTAATGGTGAAAAGATTGCGCAGGCATTACAAGCTAAGGTTGAGAGATATTGATATTGGTTGAACTTCAGCCTTTTCATTTGAAAGCAATTAAGAAATAGTTTGTCTATATACCTTTCAAAAGACCCATAGCTTCTTATTAAATGCTTTACTTGATAGGAGTTGATCACATAGTGTCTTCATCTTGATTTAGTGTTGATTTTAGGCATTGTTATTTTTTAGGGGACTCCATACGTGATATATTGGAAGAATGCATTCTCATCATATGAAGCTTCTCACTTCCGCCAAGCCCTGTTGTCTGTCGTACAGAGGTATTCTTTTTTGTGCTTCCAATTCTCCCTCTGAATAATGGAACTTAAAAATGTCATGGTTGGGCATGTTATGTGCAGTTCATGTAGCCATGCATGGGATGCTTTCCAGCTTGCTCATGCATCTTTCCGCTTGTATTGTGTACGGAACAACTATGTTATGCCAGCTAACAGGCAAAAGGATAATGGTGAACTTGGTCCACATCTATTGGGAAGTGCACCTCAGATAAATATTCTTATTCCAGATAGAGTTCAAGAGGATGGAGAAGAAATCTTATCTGATGCTCTTCCTGTGACAAAAATTTATGATGATGATGTGGATATGAGATTGCTTGTTTGCGGAGTGCCTTGTACAGTGGTGAGAGGAAGTTTTTTATTTTAGAAGTAATACATGTGTACTAGCTGTTCCCATTGTTTTCATAATTTCTCCTTTTGTCAGGATGCATGCCTAGCAGGTTCTTTGGAAGATGGCCTAAATGCCCTTTTGAACATTGAAGTAAGCATTATGTAGCATCATTGGCTTGCTATTGTCTTAATAGTTTGGCTGCTTTACAGATAATCAAGTTCATGTCTTATTTTTCACCCATGACGCGTGGGATTTCTTTCAGCAAGCATGATAAGAATTCAGCCAAACACAATTTGCGAATGTTAATAGGATTCTGCTTCTTTCAAGTTGCCACCTCCCCAATCTCATTCCTTTTCTCTAAGAATTTTGGTGAACATTAATACCTTAGATGAAACTCTCTAACTAAATGTGGACACAAGTCAGTGTTTAATGCTGTCAAAGTCATTAAACATCTTGAGAGGGTATTTCAAGAGCAAATATCTTGCGTCTTTATCAACCACTTGTTGTTGTCAAATGAATGTGTTATTGCATAAACTTTTCATTTCTATTAGCACTGCAGGATAAAAAAGTTTCCTAAAAGATTTCTAGATCTACAGGACCATAGCAATGACAAGATTTTAGTTATTACTTTATGCAAGACACTGGTATCTTAAAAGATTTAGTTATTGCATTCTTGATGCTTTAGATACCTCACTTTTAACTAAACTAGATTTTTCACTTGTGAAATTATTTTTGTGCATGCCAGATTCGTATTAAGACCATTTATAGGACTAAGTAAATGCCTAAGTTCAATAACAAATTCTGAATTGATTGTCAAGAATTGTTTCCAACTAGCCTCATCTTTTCTGTTGAATAATTTAGTAGTTTATAAAACCCCGAAATTCATCAATATCACTTTTCTTACACTCTTATTGTTGCCTCAGATTCGTGGGAGTAAACTTCACAATCGAATCAGGTATGTCTACCATCCCCATACTTCTTTATTCCAATTGGTCACTACTATCTATGCTTGATCTTTTCAATTCATATGTATTGTTCCATAGATTGAGGACAGGCCTTGAGATGACATTGAGATTGACCCATTGCAACCTAGGCTTCATGGTTTTGGATTGTCACAACAACCTCTGTGCACACTAATGTGTACAACAATTTTGATGAGTACTCAAATCGGTTGTCTATAGTATTCTAGATCTGATTACTTCTAGATTGGTTGAAGTGGATTAGTGGTTTGGCATTTAAAAAAAAAAATTGAGAACATCAATAACATTAAAAAGTACAACTAAATGATAAAAACAAAAGACATCTGTGGTTGAAATTTGTTAACAATTCTCTCTTTTTTTTGGAAATTCAAGGGATGATTCACCTTTTGCAGAGGGCTTAAGATTCCAAAAAGATACAGTATTGATCTCATGGCATTGTTTTCTCTATTTTGTTAATTATGGTTCTTTTTCTTTCTTTTTCTTGGGCACTTGAATATCAAGTGTACCTAAATCAGCCAGGTTTGGATTTGATTGGTTTAGTTAGTTTTGGTTAGGATCAATTGTTCTTTGGATTCCTGGCTAATATGCTCTAATATTGATCATGATCATGTTATCTGGATTGATTTTTCGGATATTTGATAGATCTGATAGAAAACCGGCAGGCATGTTTGGAATTTGGCCTGTTCTTATTGTAGACTTCTATTGTGTTTAGCAGGAATTCTGAGATTGTTTTGTCCCAAATTGTTGCAATGAAGATAAATGCTCTTACTAGTCAGATAGTTCTACTATAGGTTTTAATACATTCTGTCTCAGTCACTCTCTCTCATATTATTTGCTTTGACAGGTTTCACTTTAAGTTGATAGCTTGTTGCAAAATTTTATGTAGTTTTTTTTGGAACTTTCTTAATGTTGAGTTACTAAATTCATATTGATAGGAAAGGCTTGTATAAGATGGATTCTCATGTTATTGATCGGTAATGTTCCTAGTTTGCTTGGGACTTCATATGTGATGACTTCTGTCATCAACTTAATTGGACCAACAATAGTGCCAAATTAAATATTCTGCTGGACAAGTTTCTTCCTAAATAATGGCAATAACTTTTCTAGACGACCATCAATCATGTCTGATAATTACGCTTGCTATATGAACTTGTGCTTGTTGCTTTTGTTTGATGAATGTTGACAATGCTCATCAGTGCCGCACCACCTCCTCTTCAAGCTGGATCACTCTCTCGTGGAGTAGTTACCATGCGCTGTGATCTCACAACTTGTAGTTCCACTCACATTTCAGTCTTAGTGTCTGGAAGTGCACAGACATGTTTTAATGACCAGGTAAAATCTTAAAATGTTATGTTTCCTGCGAATTTGTTGGACTTCTATGTTTAAGCCACTTTCTCATAATCTGCAGCTATTAGAAAGTCACATAAAAAGCGAACTTATCGAGAAAAGACAGCTAGTTCATGTTCTTCCAGATTGTGACAAAAACAAACCATCTCTGTTTGAGCCTCTGCCTTCTGTCTCTATAGCTTGTGGTGCTTCTTCATTTGAGGTCCGGATGAAAGTACCATCTTGGGCTGCTCAGGTTAATATTTCTCCTTTTGCATTTACTTTCTTATTAACATAACATCTTTTAAAACTGATGACGTCGCTGTAATTTTCCTTTCTCCCTGAACAAAATGTGTCTTCTTATTCCTGTAATTTTTTATTTTTTTGTATGGCAACGTCCAGTTGTTTCAGTCTTTCACCATTTTTAAGAGCAATGGCTATTAGAAATGGTAAAAGGAAACAAAATTTCACCGACCATTACCTTGTTCTCGTGATCCTATTTGGCAATTTCAATAATTGGATTTAACAATATGATCATTGTGTATCTGATGTAGCCATTGTACAGGTTTTAAAACAGCTGGCACCAGAAGTCTCCTACCATAGCTTGGTCACTCTTGGCATTGCCAGCATACAGGGTGTTCCAGTAGCTTCTTTTGAGAAAGAAGATGCTGATCGCCTTCGTTTCTTTTGGAATAGGCAACAGCAAGAGTATTGCTTTCAATATGAATTGTCTCCTCCTCTGCCCGCTTTGTCTTCATCTCTTTTCAGGAAAAGGTCCAAGCCTTTTTCAGAAACTAGACCTATTTCCCGTGGCCATACCATGAGGGCAAATGGGTCAATCTTTATGATAGATCATCAGGATGTCAAAAAGGAAGTTGGCTTGTGCGAAGGGATTCATATGCCCTCCATGATTGGCCAGAAAAGATTGAAGGTTGCTACAATGAAGCCCATTCCATGCTTCCGGCGCCATAAGATATTGCCCTTCTCGGGAGTTCAGGAGGATATGCCTGATGGAAGCCAGGCAAAAACTAACCTGTCCACTGTGCCTTATGCAAAGCATAATACACTTCGTGCTCCTTTGACACACAGAAAATCTACATCAAGTTCTTTTCACGCACAACAGATCATATCTATCAATCCTCTGCCATTGAAAAAACATGGATGTAATAGATGTTCAATTCAAGCTTGCACTGAAGTAAGTATATGCCGCCTGTTTGGCCATAATGTGATTGCATATCCACGTTTGACCTTATTTTCCCTTCTCTATCATATAGGAGGAGTTTCTCGAGGATGTTATGCAGTTTCTAATCCTCAGGGGCCACAGTCGGCTTGTACCCCAAGGAGGAATATCTGAGTTTCCTGATGCCATACTCAATGCAAAACGCCTGGATTTGTTCAACTTGTATAGAGAGGTGTGTCTTTTTTTCTTTTATCTTTTTTTTGAGAAGCAACTCAGCTTTTGATGTTGATCATATGTTATCTTTCATGACAATCTCATAGTATGATGCATGCACATGTATCCTTCTGCAGGTTGTTTCTAGAGGCGGTTTCTATGTTGGGAATGGCATAAACTGGAAAGGTCAGGTTTTCTCAAAGATGCGAAACTATACGGTTTCAAATAGAATGACTGTAAGTTATTATTTACATTGTTACAAGTCGTTTGAATGCCTAGAACAGTTGCATATTATGGTAGTTCGATCCAATCACAAACATAGAGATTTGCAAGCATCTTAAGATGCAAGTCCGCTGATCTTGGTTGTTCATCAGAGAAATTGTGGCATGACCATGTCCCTTGGTTCATGTACAAGAAATTGTAGCATTACCATGTCCTTTGGTTGTTTTGTCTTAGGGCGAATATCTGAAATCTGCAAGCATGTTAAGATGTAAGCCCAGTCCTTCGGCTGTAGAAATAAGTCTGTCAGAGCATCTATTGGCCTATGGATAATTCCTTTGGTTTGTGTCCAAGAAGTAACTGAATTAGGTTGTGGATTTAATTTCTCGTCACAGACAAAGATTGGTCATGATTTGTTAATATGATTAGGAAAGTTGAGTTTGCGATGTATTTTTAGCAAGGCTGATTTATCTTACCACTAGACATCTATGCACTTACAATTAAGTTATCACCTGATAGCCTCCTAGAAATCAATTACAGTTGGTGACTTGCATAATATGCAGACATTGTTACGAAACTGAATTTCTAATGTCTTCTTGTTATTGACTCCAGGGTGTTGGAAATACATTAAAGAGACATTATGAGACTTATCTTTTGGAATACGAGCTAGCACATGATGATGTGGATGGAGAGTGTTGCTTGTTATGTCATAGGTAAACAATCACTACATTTTCTTTCTGAACCATGTGTGTTCTATTCTAAAGTATGTTCAACTAGATGTTGATTCTTCTGCAGTAGCACACCTGGTGATTGGGTGAACTGTGGCTTATGCGGTGAATGGGCTCACTTTGGTTGTGATAGGCGGCAGGGACTGGCTACTTTCAAGGTTTGTCTCCCTTCTCCAACAGTTGCAACTGAACACGAAATGCTTAATGGGCGGTAGAAGCTACTCTATTATGTTGCATCCCATTGCATTACTTTCTCATGACAAGGAGGGAGTTGGTCTCTTATCACAAAGTTTTATCACCATCGAAATAGCATTAACATTAGAATTCCACACTTGATGTGTGCTTTTTGTACTTCTTCGACAGGATTATGCAAAGACAGATGGCTTGGAATATATTTGCCCTAACTGTAGTCTCTCGAACTCTAAGAGGAAGTCCCAGAAGGTGGCGAATGGACTTTGTAACGCCATGACTCTTCCACGACATGAATAATTGCTTAATTTCCTTCTTTTTCTTGTGTAAGAGAAGATCCCCAATTTTGTCAGGGGTTATAACATGTATCAGTTCATATTGTTGCTTGCCTAATCTTAGGCTGACATCTAGAGCAAGTGCAGATGGCATAAATGCAAGAAAAAATATTTAGTTTTACCCCTCCTGCTGATAAACTGTATCCATTTTCTGTCATTCTTGTTATGATTTATTCATCTGGATGCAGTTTGAGATAGGGTTAAATATGGGCTCTCGAAGAAGGGCAACTAGTCTTGGTGGACACCTGCGGCCATATGCTTTCCTCACTCTACTGCACCCTGAATCCAGTCTTGAATCAAGAACAAATCTAGTGGATAACAGGTAAGTCCAGCTCAAGCCAAGCCAACAGCTTAATTCATTAAATGTAAATGACATGCAAATTATAGATTTTATTATTTTTGGATAATCCATTTCGTTTACGATATGAAAGAGTAGAATTTGAATCTATGTTGATGAGAGTTTGCATAGTTACTACTTCAATTAGTTGCTAAACATTTGACAACGCATGTGAAAGAATTAAGAGGAAATACTGATCAAAGTCAAAGTCTAACCACGACTCAGACACCAACTTATTTCCACATTAATCATATATATATATATATATATATATATATATATATAAGACATGTATTACATCTTGAAACATACCATTTCCAAATAAAAAAATCTTATTTAAAGTGGAGAGGACGTGGTGGGCACAAGCCTCAAATATTAATTAATCATTGACCAAAGTGTGTCACATTATTATTGCCAACTTGTTGCCACCCATGCACTCTTCTCTTCTCTCTCTATGTATACACATGATGACATCATTCCATATGCAATCGTTATTTCATAAATATTCGACATCATTCATTTATTTATTGGTCAACCTCGGCCTAACTCCAAGTACAATTATTGTACTCCCTACTCATTGCACATGTTTTTATGCTATATAATATATATAATCCTTAAAATATTTAAATTATATAAATGTCATATATATCTGTGTGTGTGCTAAATTCGTGTTAATTATTGCTAATCATGATTATCGATGAATTTTAAATACCTAAAATATCCTTACCTCTTTTATCAATTATTTGACTCTTCATTTTCTAAACTTTTAACATCAGAGAATATTATATATGTAATACTTTCGAAGGGTTCAAATGTCAATTGAAGTCTCATCAAGCGAAGGCTTTTTGTTCACCAAGTTGTAAAAGTCAAAATAGAGAGTTCCATTCAAATATCTTGGACGGAGGGGATGGATAAGATCAAACATGATGCACATGTCATCCTTGCTTCTAATATTGGATATTTCATTATAAAGTTTAGGATGCAAGTGTGTAAATAAATTTATAGTATGACAATATAATTTCACATTTCAAATTTAAATGGTTAACTTTGCTGAAAATAAGGCTTGTCAGTATATTGTTATTAATGTCATGGTAGTAAACATGTCAAAATCTTAGCTTAGTTGTTGTTCTTTGGTTATGTGCATATGGCAAGTTGGCTTGTGTTTGTTTCTCTTTTGCCTCCTCCTATAGTGTGAAATTAATTAGCTGATATATTATTTTCTCTGTTTTCAAAAAATTATTTTATAGATTAAAATGTTTAATCTTTATGTTGTGTGTGTGAAACAAAGAAATAAAATTAAAATTAATCCATCAACAATTTTGAGAAATAGATTTTATATTTAGAATATTTTTTTTTTTTCTCGTCTTCTGTCTGTGTTCTCCGCCGACTGGCAATTGCTACTATAAAAAACCCTTCTTCTTCAACTATGAGGAGAGAAGCAAAGAAGACGGGGAGTCGGAAGAATTCCAAGCTGTAAAGGAGCGATTTTTGAGGTTCCAGAGATGTGTGGGGGCGCGATCATCTCCGACTTCATTCCGCTGGCGACGGCGGCGTCGCAGCGGGTGATGGCGGAGCACCTGTGGCCGGGCCTCGAGAAGGGTAAGCAGACGACGAGGAGGCGTCGGAGAGGGGTGGAGGTCCCGGACGATGACGACGACGACGACGACTTCGAAGCTGACTTCCAGGAGTTCAGCGATGAGACCCAGGTGGACGAGTTCGATGCCGTGCACTTCGGCTTTGGATCGGAAGCCCCGTTCCCGCGAGGTAACTCGAGCGAATTTTCCCAAAAGACGCTTCTTTTCTCCGTTACATCGGATGTTCCGTGACTAGGAATGGGTAATAGCCGTACGAAAAGTTGCGGGTTCGGTTCTTTTTGTAGGCGCAGAGGATTTATTAGGAAAAGATGGGATCTTGTAGCGATTTATTATGGTTGGGCTTATCGTTTCCTCGCCAATTTACTTGTCGCATCAATTTTATTACTTTACAGTATTGTTGCATAGTATGCAATCCTCGATCTATAAAATACAGTTAAATGGTTGATATGTAGGTTATTTTTCGTGACTTTTCTAAGAATTATGGCAGTTCAAAAGGTGAGGAATGAGAACAACGTGAAAACAGCCTCGTGGATCTGTAAATTCTGCTCCATCATATATGCATAGTGATGGGCAAGACCTGCTTTTGGTGTTTCTTTCATTGCAATTGGATGATTACTGGACTTCGGAAGTTAAATTCTTTGGATACTTCAAATACCTAATAGAGCCTCCGATTTTGTTAGAAAAATATAAACTTTGTTATTCTAAGGATAAATAAGGCACCCGATGATTTGTAGTGGATTTAGGAAACTTTGCAAGAAAAGGATGATGATATTCTTTCAATTAGAATCTCTGAGTTTTTACTGTAGCATTTCAAATTTGTGCTTGGTTTGCAGATGGCTCACCAAAGTCTGTATATCTTGATGGACCTGCCATAAAATCAAGCAAAAGAAAAAGAAAGAATCGATACATAGGAATCCGCCAACGACCGTGGGGCAAGTGGGCAGCTGAAATCAGAGATCCTAACAAAGGAATTCGTGTTTGGCTTGGAACCTTCAACACAGCTGAAGAGGCTGCCAGAGCCTACGACGCTGAAGCCCATCGGCTTCGGGGTAAGAATGCCAAGGTGAACTTCCCGACAGGAGCAGCATCATTGAGTTCACGCAAACGCTCATCAAAGCCTACTGCTTCAGTAATACCAAAACCAAAGGTGTTGGAAAAACTTGACTGCAACCAGAATTCCAACTATCTTTGTGACCAAGATTCTGAACTCTATTCAACGTTCATGGAAGATCAGGAACTTACGAAGCCTGATCACCTGAATCCTGTTACCACAATAAAGTCTTCAGCACCTTTAGAAGAAGCTGCTTTGAATTTTCACTCTGATGAGGGAAGTAATTCTCTTGGTTATGCTGACTTTGTATGGGAATTTGATGCCAAGACCCCAGAGATCATGTCAATCCTTGCTCCTATCGAACCTGAGTTATTTGAAGATGGTGGCCCTCACAAGAAACTGAGAAGTGATATTTCTGGAGTTGAACTCTCCGAGGAGTTATATGCCAATGAACCATACATGAAGTTCCTCCCTACCCCGTACTTTGAGGGGAGCTCAGATGCATCAATGGACAGCCTATTTGGTGGTGCGGATCTCTGGAGTTTCGATGACTTGCCTATGGAGGCAGTGTTTACTGAGGGGATATGATCCTCGCCATTGGTGTTCCAGAAAGAGCAAATAAATGTAAGAATTTCAATGATCTTAGTTAGGTTGTTGAACTATTCTTAAATGTATACTTCATTTTGGAAAATGAGCTGTCCCTTATATGTTGTTTCCTTTCTCAGAATACAATGTTGATGAAGGATTTTGGAGGACTGGAAACATTGGCAAGCTGTCATGAAGTTCTTGTAATTTGCCGTGCAAAAGTGCCTTCAAGAACACTTCTTGTTATCTTGTGATGTATCTCAATTATTAGTCTTTGGACCCGTTTCTCGTTGTGTAATAAATAATGCTTTCTTGCAAGTTAATTCCATGTTGATTTGGAACATGTTTTCAGAACTTTGCCACTGTTGTCACTCTATGCAATCAAGCGTGTGTGGTTTATGATTAGAGCTTGATCGAAATCTGGTTACTGATGGCCATCATGACTTTAGCAATTTCTAATCTCTTATGGTTGATAAGAATTTGAAGTCAGAGTGGTCAATGGTTTATGAAGATATAATTCCTAATGTTGTTTCTATTCCTTTGTTGGAGATCTTTGATGTGTTTGCTCTTCTTTTCAAAACTGGTTATTGATGCTTGACCAAAGATGGTTTTTGGATGCCACAGACAAATTCATGGGTGGCAATTTTTGGATTGGCAGTTTTTGGCAATAGGTAAATTAGATATGCTGTTATTGCTGATATTGTCAGAATCTGCATCTTTTGCACTCCTTTGATTGCTTACTGCTTAGTGATGACAAACAACAAGAAAAAGCAGTATGGCTTGCAGATTCTTAGAGGTTGTCTCAACTCTTCAAGCTTCTTGTGGAGAGGGCACAGGCCAAGGATTCACTTGCATGGAAACCACCCTTGTGATTGGCGAAAGCAAGACATGGTCTTTTGACACTTTTGGAACATCTACTGGTACACAATGACATATTTTGATGCTTTTATTCTTTTAATATGATGCAGTTGGAGATGCAGAAGACATTAGGTACATCACAAGTATTTGACTTGTTGATGCTTGTCACTTGGTTCTTAGGAAGGACAACTCTTTTGGGACTGTAAGCTCACAACACATCTTTTTTGGGGATCTAATCTACTTGGGATTCCATTTTCCTGAATGCATGAATGTAATTAACCTAAGTGCATATTAGAGCAGGGCAAGAAGAGCTCTTGCTTAGGGACCAAGGATGATTTTGAGAATACAAACATGAAAATTTATGCTGAATTGAGTTTGAAATTGACCACAGGGCATATGGATTAACCGCGACTGCAAGATCTGATTAAAAATGATGCTACAAACCATTATTCTTTTGGCGATCTATTACTTCATCTTATTCAGGTGCTTACTAAATGAAGAAAAATATTATTTTGACATACTGCTTATCGACAAATTTCTTTGACTTATTGTGCAAATCATAGATATTTGCGCCTAAACAACACAAATATCTTAATCAAAGAAGCAATCTGGTTAGGAAATTTCTTGCTCATGTATCATGCTCAACTTTGACAAACATTCATAGTTGGACTTTATTCTTAGTAGAAGTATATGTTAAAGGAAATTTAAAAAAAAAATATATACATATATATATAAAGAAGAGTCCATTGACTTTTATGTCTGATTGAGATAGCAGGAATTTAGCTGTTCTTGTGCCTTCACTACTTAGGTAGCTCATGGCTGACTTTTTTCATTGTTTCCATGTGAATGACTAACCATAAATTTATTGCTGAATATGAATTATTGGTACAAAATGCTTGAGTCCAAGTTAATGGTGTGAAACTCATCTAGCTCTTATAAGTTCATTCAAGCCTTAAAACTTAAAGGTCAAGTCTGTATAAGTTTTAGGAAATTTAAGAAGAAAAATAAAGAAGAATCCATTGACTATTTCACATGTTTGACAAACTTGATCAGATGTCATTGTTTCATCACTGTTTAGGTAGATCAAGGCTGACTTTTTCACTGTCACGAGCAAGCCAAATGCGATGACCAAGTGTGAACTATCAGACCAAAATGCTAACTTGATAGTCAGACTCATCTAGTCGTTATAAGTTCTTCATTCAAGTTTAAAAAGTCCAATCCAATGTTGATTTTACTTTTTGAATCGCTCATCATGTTCAATACTAGATCGATCCTGATACTACTAGTCACCAGATGAGTCTTTGTTATTGAATGCTATTTGTGTTTATTCCCTCTGCATTGAATTGTTTGATATCTTGCTAATTATTGATGCAGCTTTAGGTTCTTGAATGCTTCTTGTGCTTGATAATACCTGCGAATCTGCTGATTTCTTGAAATAAGAAACACCATACACGGAGATTGAAATCCTATGGAGTATTTGGAATGAAAAGGAAGCAACTTATTGATTTCTTGCACTCTGTTATTGAATGCTAGTTGTACTTGATTCCCTTGTTCATTGAATTGTTTGATATCTGGCTAAGTTATTGATGCAGTTTTCGGTTCTTCGAATGCTATTTGTGCTTGATAACACCTGTGAATCTGCTGCTTACTTGAAATAAGAACACCATACACACACAGATTCAAATATTTGGAGTGTTCTGGAATGAAAAGGAAGCTACTCTTATTGCAGCATAAAATGGCATTATGGCCTTACACAGCACATTGACAACTTCAAAGACAAGAACTTCGACTTCTGCCAAAAAGCAGCCCTCACATCAATTGAAACAAGAAGAACAACTCATGAAGAAAGCTCCTCCCTTATCAATCTTAGATAAGCAAACAAACAGATCAAAATGGCAATGATGCTTCCTACTCGAAGCTACTTTGCGCCATTAACCGCAGCTTCTCCGTCTACCGCCAGAGGAACAGACTCGGCCTGAAAATACAGATTGAAACGGTGCAAACATCAGTCAGATGACTATGCAATGAGCTTCTCAAGTAAATGGAGTAAGCCAGGTGTGTTGTTTTTACCAAATTGCGATATTTGAGGGCATAGAACATCTCAAGGTAGCGGCGAGTCTCGCGCCTATCGAGGTTGGAGACATACTTCCAGAAACCATAAACTCCAGACAGTGTCATCAGCCTCTCTGAATAGAGCTTCCAGGTATACCTAAGTGTTTCGTTCGAAGGCAGAGGTTAGATAACTGTTGCCTTGGTAACAAAAAATATTACTCAGAGGAAGAGATCTTACTTCTCTTCAATTCTCTTCAGGCCTCCCTGTGAGATTTTGTCCCAGCAGGTTGGGTCTTCCTTGCACTTCTCAAAGAAATTTACAATGATTTCAGCAGCCTTGTCACCCTGGTAAGGATCAATGTGGAAGCCAGAAACTCCATCGACGATGATTTCACCGGGTCCTCCATGAACAGTTGCAAAGGTGGGCAGCCCACAGGTCATGGACTCGACAACAGTGAGTCCAAAGGCTTCATAGAAGGCAGGCTAAAGAACAGCAAAGCGAGACAAGTTAGTGAAACTTTGGCTCGGAAGATAATTCAGATTTCAAATGTTAATATCATGTCTTTTCTTTTTCTACAAAGAAGGGTGGCAAGTACTTGGACGAAAGCTCCTTTTGTGTCGGCAATGTATCGGTAGAGCTCGCCGTTGCGAACCCTGTTCATCTGGGCAGAGATCCATCGAATATGCCCATGCAGGTTGTACTTCTCAATGAAACTGTACATCTTCTTGAATTCTGCTTGTTCCTCGAGATCCTTTGATTCTTTGCCGTGGTCTCCACACACCACCACAAGGTTCACCAACTCCTTCAAGCGTTCATTTCGGCCATAGAATTCGACCAGACCTGTTAAGTTCTTTACTCGGTCCAGCCTTGCCATGGAGAATATGATGGGTTTCTTGGTGTCATTCAGCACACCCCTGTGGACGCTCGAGTCAGTCACTGCATCAGCCAAGAAGAACAGTAAATTCAGTTGAGAGAACAGGTGATTACTTGTGCTCAGTGTTATCTTCAGGATTGAAGAGCAGCTCCTCAATCTCTGGGTGGAGGGAAGTGAGTCTCTTGTGCTTCTCTGTGTACGGGAAGTAGATGGACAAATCAGCTCCGGGAGAGACAATGTTGAACTTTGGGTCGAAGACATCAATTCCATGAACAACTCGATAGAGCCCGGGAAGAGTAAAAGCAGTGTGAGACTCATACTGCCCCACGGTATCCTTGCTGAAATCATACAGGATACAGAGAAATTTCTATCAGATTCCAATAGTCATTTTAGTACTCTACAAAGAAACAAAGGACTTGATTTTTTAGCAGAAAGTTCTTTATCGCGATCGGTACCTTCCAGCAATTTCTTGGAAGGTGCTAGTGATGATAAAGTCAGCATGATTCATTGCGACCAAATCAGCCGTGAATTGGCAAGAGAAATGATACTGATTCTCAAACTTCTTCCAGTAAATGTCTGAATTAGGGTACTTGGTTTTCTCCAGAGCATGAGCAATGGTGCACTGCATGTGAAAGAAACAATGCATGAAACTTCTGCCGAGTCTAATGAGCAGGCAAGGCAGTCAAACGAAAAAATTCGAACCTGGGTGACGCCTAATTTATGCGCCAGCAATGTTGATACTAGATTTCCGTCACTGTAGTTTCCGATGATTAGATCGGGGGTGGCTTGCAGTTCTCCTGCCAGCTCATTTGCAACATCCTACCAGCAAAAAGACCTCGATAAACCCTCGCAAACATGTGTAGCACAACAGATCCATACAAAAGCCATTAAGATATGCAAAACAAAGATAACATGATTAAGGTTTACCTCAGTGTACGTCTCGAGGTAAGGCCATACTTCAAAACGGGAGATCCATTTGCGGATAATTCCATTCTCTGTTCTAAATGGAACTCGAAGAATGTGAGTGTGCTCAGTTCCGAGGACCTTCTCAAGTCTCTGTCCACATGTGGTGCCTACTGCATCAGGAAGCAACCTGGAAACCTGTATTACCCCAATAATGTCATATCAGACAGGCTATATCGACCATAATGCAAGGTCTTCTAAGGACTGGAGAAGATCAAATAGCATAGGAAAGTGCTTATTTTGTCTCGTTCCAATCTTACAATAAGAATTCGAGGTGTGATGTCTAGCCCTTGACGCTTGATCCTCAAGAGCATCTCATTCTCCAAGGCACGGACTTGATCCAAAATATAAACAACCTGCAAAACAGTGCCCTTGTGAGAAGCAAATGTAATTTGATGAACGTCTACACCTTTTAGGATTTAGTCATACCTGACCACCAGTGTCTGGATACCCCAAGACATTAGCTTGGGCAAAGTAGCCGTGCGGAGAAAGGATCACGACATTAAACATCATAGGAATTATCCCCAGGAAGTTCTCCAAGGTACAAGGATCAGGTGCCTCGAGAAGATCCAGTAGCAGGTGAATGTTCTCGTAC